CTCATAATTTCCTCATCACTATTGTTCACAGGTTCATTATGACCCTCCAGTTTCGCTTCTGTTTGTAAGCAGCAGCTTGTGCAAGGGCCTTTTTTTAGAAGCTAGAAAAGACTGCATTATTTCTAATGTCAAAAGAAAGTACAATTATTTGTTTATTTCTGCTTTGTCACAGTGCCAACTAGAGCTTATATAGCAGGAAAGTAGGAAAGTAAATGCTCCTTGTGCGATGCTTGGATCTTATTCTGCAACAAAACTGAGAGATTTGCAGCAGAATTGCAGCAGATAATGCTGCATATTAACAACCTCATGTAGAAAAGTCCATAGTCCAAATTTCTGAAAATTGGGTGAATTATCATCTGCCTGCATATCAGAAAAAGTATTAGCTATATATCAGAGATGAAATGATAATAGAAATGAATATTTAATTCTCATCTGGATAAAACATTTAGGATATATGGTTTTAACACTTTATCAAAGACTACTTGTAGGATCTTAGAATATAGGATAAAAATGAAATATAACTTGGTATGGCTATTTGTAAGAAAGTCCTCATCTTCTGTTATTACTGTTACCTTTCACCATTAGCACAACTAAATGGGATGTAAAAGGTTGCTGTAGCAATAAATAGAATAATCCATTAGAAACAAATCATTTTGCAAATTTTAAATGCTTCCCCGACCCCACCACAACCCACCCCAAGACAAAACAAATTTGCCTGTCTCAAAAATCCAGGGCAAATGAATATTTGGAAGAGATAATCATACATTAATTAAACAAGATAGAAAAGACATCAGAAGCTACACAGTTTTGTTGCTATGGTATTTGCCTCTTGCCAAATGTAAGACCTTGATGCCAAGGCTGTATAAAGCTATTGTGATGAAAAGAACTCCTACTGCAAAAACGTTCTCCAGAAATCCCAGAATACTGCTGTGAGTGACTGCAGGTAATCTGCAGTACTATGCAAAACGCTGAAAGCAAATACAAACCAGCCTCTTATGCTAAAGGACTGAACCTCCAATTAATCTGTTATATACTCCTCCATAATTGCAACTACTGTGCCAAAGTCTGTGCCAAAATATCTAGCTGGGAAAGGGAGAATGTGAATGTGTGAGGAAGGAAGAGTCCTAAGCCATGCCAGTCAGCATGGCCCTCTATATGGATTTGCAGAATTACATCGGAATTACTTTAGCTGCACAGCTCATGACTTGGTGCAGAGTTCTTTTTCCCTTTCACAGGTCGATGGGCAAATGTTTCTGTGTCTCAATTCCTCTGAAAGAACTTGTGATACTACTTTTTCAAGGCGAGGGAGAAACCACCACCACAAAGAGTAGGCTTGTGCCATTTTTCTTGGGTGACATTCTTCAACTTTCCTTTTCAGAACAAGTGATGGTGACTTAATTCTCAAGTTTCTTGGATGAAGCCAATAATTTGGATCCTTTCCAATCTAGAGGTTTTGAGAGCCAGTTTTGGCATAGCCTTGGGAGATTACCTGCTCCAGGAACTAAATACAGAAGGTGCTTCCATATTGGCATTGCTGGATTTCATGACATCATTTGATGCCATCAGCCAGTGGGGGGGTAGTGGCAATTGTGTCGGACTGGGGCTTGGGAGATCTGAGTTCTAATCCCCACTTGGCCATGAAGCTCCCTGGGTATCTTTAGACCAGTCACTGACTTTCTGTCTAATCCACCTATAGGATGACTTTGGAGGAAGACTATGTAAGCTGTTTTGAGGTCTTTGCAAGAGAGGAAAAGGGCGGGATATAAATTAATAAAAAATAGAGATAACCTTCTCAGACATTTAGCCAGTATAGAACTTGAAAACACTGTGTTGCAGTCACTCTGAACTTACCTGGCCGAATGTTTCTGGGAGGGCGTGCTGGCCCCTGGGCACTGGCTGGGGACCATCAGGGATCTCTATTGCTCTTATGCTTTTTAATATCAACATGAAGATGTGGGAAGAGGCCATTAGAGGTCTGAGGCTGGATCTCATCATTATGCTGATAATCCTCATTTCTGTCTCTCTCTGTACGTTGGTGCTGAGGGGGCTATGGAACCTTGTCTTGACATGGTGAATGGGGTGGGGGTATGGCCTGCTCTGGACAGAATGGTGCTACCTCTGCAGGATCAGGTCACAGGCTGAGGGTGCCTCCAGACCCAGCATTGTTCGCGGAGGGTCAGGTGGGTGCCGAGGCCAGGGGTGCTTTTGCCAACTTTTGACTTGCATCAATAGTGCCCCTTCCTGGAGAAGGTAGATCTGGCCACATGGATTTATTCTTTAACAACCTTTGGCTTAGATTGTGTAACTTGCTGTCCTTATAGCGTGAAATGCAGCAGCCGGCTTGTCATCTGATGCGTGTTTCATTGACCATATTTTACTGATTTGGCATCAAGCACACTGCTAGCTGGCTGCTGATTTGTTTCTTGGCACAGTTGAAGGAGCTGTTACTTACCTGTAAGCCCAAAATAGCAGGGTGTCAGGATACCTAAAAGAGTGCCTCTGCCCATTGTTTAAGATGTGATTTGGAAGCCCTTCTGTGTTTCCAACCAGCAAGACTGTTTGGTGGTGATGGTGACACAGGTATATCCTACTTTGTGATGTACCCTGATGTTTCAGTTCTGTCCTCAGTGAAATATGACTGCCACTCTTTTTATTTAGTTTTAAACAGGCTATTTATGTTCTGTGTGGCTTTGGCATGAATTCAAATATATCCCACTTAATTTTAAATATTTTTATGGCCAAGTGGAGAGCAGGAATGTTTGAACAACTTTAAATTGTCCTAAAGTTTTAAATTGCAGATCGCTTTAGAGGCCTGCGGGAGCTGACAAGTAACTCATACAATTATAAATAAATACACAAACAAACACCTGCCTTCTAACATTCGGTTACACTGCATTCCATGTGACCAAGAAGAATAGGATTATTCAGCTTGATTCAGAATGGCTGGTCTCTGGCCCAGGTCAGAGAACTAGAGTAACCTCATGGACTCACTTCATTTGCTCATAAGTAAAAGGCTGCTGTTCTTGGCTGTGGAAAACAGTCAAGCACTGTGTCAAGCAGAAAGACCCTGCTTGGGCCATTTTGGAGGGGAGGGTTTGGCTTGCCCCCTTTGCCGTGCGGTGATGGGAGGATGAGGAGTGAAAGCAGTGAGAAGCAGGGGCAGGAGCAGGGGGGGGAGTGTTGCCAGGTAGGACCAGAAGAGCACAAGAATCTTGCTGGAGCAGGGTCAAACCAGGCAGGATTTTGTGTTGTTTTAATGCCGCGTGTGTGTTTACAAAAAACGGCTGGCAGACTATAATGCGTGTGAGAGGTAAGGTTAATTCTTTCCTTGCTCAGCATTCCTGCTGACATACTGCCCTGCAGCTGCTTCCCCCCAGTTTAGCTTTTTCTCCACCACCACTTTTTTTAAAAAGGTGGTTCAAGGGGGTATTCTCAGCCAGAAGGCTGCAGTCCCTCTCAGTGGGTTAACGTTCCTCCCCATCACTGGGACTCTGATCTGGCTGGGGCTACCAGCAGCTGCATCTTCTAAGGAAAGTGTTGCAGCTAGTCCGACACACAGCCAGTGTAAGTGGCATCTTGCTTAATCTTCAGGACAGGATTCATCTCGGTCAGCATCCCGTTCCCTACAGTGGCCAGCCAGATGGTTCTGGGAAGCCCACAGGAAAGGTTTGAACTCTGCAGTGATTCTCTTCCTCCGCCCTGGCCCGCAGCAACTGATATTCAGTGGAGACTGCCTCTAAGCAGCTTCCTTTCTTTTAGTCCTCATGGCTATATAACTGGTAGGCAGGTAAAGCGATAAGGTGAATTCCCTTTCAAAGCAGTCTGAGCATATAGAATCACTGTATGGCTGGCTAGTACTTCCCCAGACCATGGGGATAGGAAAAGACTTAAATTTTTTCTTCCTGGGTCCCCAGAATACCCCAAGGAGGGTTAGCCCCCATCCCGGTGGTCTCGGCATGCACACTTCACACTTCACGTATTCAGTCATCAGTGGCTCATCTCAGCCAGGATACTCGGGGACACGTCAGCAGCACTTCTGTCTTAGTAGGGCATGGATGTCACCTCCCCCGGCCCCACATGGCCCCCTGCCTTCTCATTTTAGCTGCAGTCCTTGGTAGGTTGGTCCTATTAAGACCCATTAGCTCTGCAAAACACCTTGTGGAGATTCAGACGGCTGGAGCTGGTTTGACACAGCTGTCCTCATTTTGGGATTCTCCTTGAGGCATGGCTGTGGGCCTGTCAGTGCCTGCACTTCAACATTTGTTGACACCGCTGTCAATCATATGGGGGAAAGTGAAGGATTGTTCTTGGGGCTACTGTTGTAGAGACAGGCTAACCAGTGCTTACTGATTCCCAGGCAAGAACAGGAGGTTGCAGAAGTGGTGTGCTGGGGGGGACGGGGGAGTGATTTGCTCTTCCCACAGCAGTGTGAGACACAGTTCCAGGAACTTTTGCATATACAAGCCTGCACTCTGCATACATACACTGCCTGCCATAGTGATTGCATTTCGCTAGTAATACAAGATGGGGAGTTTCTCAGACATCAACTCTTGGAGCCTCCTTGTGCCAGCGTTGCCCTCCTTTTGCTGCCAGGCTAAGATTTCTCAGGTATTTGGCAACATATAAGAAGGAATTTTTTAATTGGGTCCCAGGACTTCCAATTGTTGACGTGCATGTGTGCTGTTGGCGTATATAAATAGTTTTTCTACTATGTACCGTATTGCATTTTTAAGGTTTTTAATCTTGTAAACTACCCAGTCTTTTTAAGTGTCCTAATCTTTGCAAACTTTGGCTGCTGGAGCACGGAGCAGTTTGACAAAGGAATGAATTAACATGTAGGGATCACAAGCTGGCCTGCTTTGCAAGAACTGAACATTTAATCTTCTTGCACTGACCATTCATTTACATTGTGCCAAGTGTTTTTCATGCTTCCGTCATTATATGCCCTTCTGGCTACTTCAGCTGCCTGCTAATGTTCCTGACCTTTCCTTTCTTTGCAGCCCAATCACCCAATAGTGCCTATTCCAGAAAATGAAGCCCTCAGCTCCGAAGAGGTAATGAGCTAGCACTTCCCATTTCTAAAGACATGCAAAATGATGGCACTAACTCTTGCTAGTTGATGTAGTGAAAGGGGAAAGAGGAGAAGTATCAGAATGCACCTTATTTAACAAGTGAGTTTGCTCACACCTGCGGGTACCCTCTCCTTACTAATGCATTAACCCTCAGGCTGATCACTAGGCAATGCTCTTGCTTTTTCTCTCTCGACCAGTGTTGCTGCTAGGATTGGACCTTGGAGGCAAAGTCCAGGTCCCCCGCTCTCAGCCCAGAGAGGGGCAGGTGATGGCAGGAGCAACCATGCATGTTCAACACTCCCTGCCACCGAAAGATGTCCAGATGCTTACTGTAATGCCTCTCCTTTAAATAGAGCCTAAATGGCTTGTTGAGCATGTTAGATGTTACAGGTGCCTTATTTTATTATTGAACTGTAAAGTATATTTTATCCCTTTCTATGATGGAATGTCAATTATTAGGTTCAGGGCAGTAGACGCAAACTCTGTTATATTCCAGTGGTCACAATGGTGCTATGATTTAAGTGAGTTTAAAATGAAAAACTGCCCATATGGAAAACAAAATGTATGACTGGATGTTTTCTCAATATTTTGCTCCTAATGTATCAGGAGTGCAAAAGAAGTTGTACCCAAGTTGTGGTTGGGTCAAGAGAAAAGTTAATTGCTGTATTAATGTAACAAAACACAGCCTTTTAAAGTTCAGGAGTGGGCATAAGACCATTAAGTCCAGGTCCTAAAATTACCCAAGCTACCCCACAGTTCTTATTCTGTCTCAATTTCAGCAGCAGCCTTTCCTTACTTCGTAAGCACAAAAAAAGGAAGGTCAATTTTCTGGACATCACCAGTGAACAGACAGACAAGTGTTTAGAGCGAATATAGCTTCATTCTCCATGAAACATTTAAAATCAGAGAACTAGCATATAAATAAAAAAATAACTCTTGGATAACACCAGGACTGCAGAGCTCAGGTCACTTTCATGAGCTGAAGTCACTTCCCGTCACCAGTTTGTCCTTCAGAATTGCCTGGCTTGCTCCCTTCCATGTACGGAAGAGCTGGACAGTTCTTCAGGGCTGGGTTCATGAGATTTGGGTGAGATCCTGCTTGTTCAGCGTATCCTTCTTAATTTGCATTCATTTTGTTAAGATGTCTGTTGAATTCTATAAATCCAATGATGGTCCCTCCCTCCTCCAGTATATGGTGGACTGAGCCCGTGTCCCTTGGTCCAGGCTTTTTGGGTTTTCGGCTTGTTCTCTACAATGTGGGAATAGAAACTTCTTGAGTAGAAATGCTGTCCAGGTGTACACTGCTGATGGACAGCATCAAGAACCCTCAGCTCTCCTTTCTTAGGGTTCTTGATCTTCAAACTGATTTTGGAGTGGAGAACCCTTCAAACAGGACACATTCAAGTAGAGGACTGTGCTCTGTAAGGTAGGACTGCTGGTCACCCTAGATAGGGCAGGTCAATCCCCAGCACCTCGAGTAAGGCTGGGAAATACTCCTGCCCATTCAGTGTACCCAAAACTGAGCTGCATGGACCACTCATTTGGCTCAGTATAATGCAGCTTCCAGGGTGTCTATGGGAATCCTTCCTGGACTTCCTTTCAATAAAGCAAAGTAGGGTGGCCATGTTTCCTCTCCACAGTGGACTATCCTTGCTCTGAAGAGATGTCTGGTCCAGTTCTGGCTGAAAAGGAGGAGTTGAGCATGGAGTTTGTCCATCTGCATTTAGCACCAAGAGAGCAGACTGAACAGGCTGGCAAACAGCTCACCTGGTCGCAATCTTTGACAGTATGGTGAGATGTGTTGCATTTTTCTTTAGATGATGCTGATGATGTTGCCCAAATTTGCTTCAATATATAACTTAGTATATTATTTTTATTGCTAAATAGGATGCTATTTTCTTCTTTTGGTGATGCCTTTTCTCTTTTTTGATCAAGCATAAGTGGCCACCCTCAAGGAATGTACTAGTCCTAGTGGCTGAGCCTGATCGACTTCTTCTGAAAGCTAGTTTCTTTCCTCCCCTTCAAATGCAAGAAACAAAGAGAGTGCTTTGTTCAAAACAACAATGTCTTTTATAAATGGACATTTTACAGCTTTCCTCGCTTGTCTACCATGAAGAGCAAGATCTAAGCAAAGGAGATTTTCCAGACAATGGAAGGCTTCACAACAAAGATCAGTGCAGACTCAGAAGAGAGCTTGGCAACAGTTCTGCCAAACCCAGCTAAGGTATGACCCTAATTCCTGTCAATGAGGCAGGAACTATTCTGTGGCTCTGTCAGGCATCAGAAGCCTCCAGTGGTGCACTCTGTAGCAGGATGCCTGCCCTGCCAGGGGAGCGCAAAGGCCGCAGGAGCCTCCGGCCAGATATCTGCTCTGCAGCACCATCACTCTGTCATGGCTGCCAGGGACAGTGCTACAGCTTTGGCAGCCCAGACAGACCAGGTGACCTGAGGAACCAGTCATGGCCCACCCGATACGATGCTCCTCATCTGTGAGGCAAGGTGCTGAACAGACACTCGCCTGTGTCTGCCTGCTCGTCGGCTTGCCCTGGAACCTGGTCGCCAGCCCGTCGTCAGCCATGTCACCTGACAAACAATCGTTAATATTCCACATTCATGAATGGAGGGTCATTTGCCACTAAATAACCAAGTGTCTTGCATTGAGCCTCTTATAGCCTTTCAACACTTAAAAGCTTTGATAAAAGTGCGGCACAGTGTACACCTTATAACATATGAGTCAGACAATATACCTATTGTTATCTTGTTTTTATGCATTGCTGTAAATGGCCCAGAGAGCTTTGCATGAACCACTGGCACGGAACCAAATCAATAAATACTGGTGGTGTGCCTTCCAGTGGCATTGGGGGTCGTATGATGTGTCTCGTAATTGTGGGCAAGGTCTCTGAAGAGCCACTTTGGCTGGAAAGGGACTAGCTTGGCTCTTGAGAGAGATGGCCATGCCGGAATGCACTGTGGGAGCTGCAGTGTCTCTGCAGATCACCAGCGGCATAGTCTGCAGTCCCAGAAGGGCCAACTGCAGGGAAGGATCCCTCTGAAAGGCTGTGCTAAGCTGCTTTCCCTGCAGAATGGTGAGCAACAGCAGCAATGTGGTAGGCAGGGCATGTGGGGGTGGAAAAGGAGACGAATGTTGATGGCGAGGGGCAGAGAGAGGAGACGTAGCGGCCAGGCAGGTGGAGGTGGGAAGGAGCAGCCGCAGTGAAGGCGCCAGTGGCAAGGGTGTGTTCTGGCCTCAGGTTTGGGAGAGTTTGTGCTTGCAGTTGCCCTCAAGACTTAACTAGCCCGTTTCATAAGAATCCACAAGCTGCTGTACTGGATGAGAACATCTAGGATAGTCTTCTGTCTCTGGCAGCACCAGAGTGATTCACAAGCAGGACATTGCATGGTCATTCCCGGTACAGCACAGAGATTCAGTTTGCATATCCATGGAAGTTAATGCTTGGACATGAAGCTTGTATCCACTGACAGACTCATGCAAGTCATTCGTGGAGGAGAAGGCAAACAGTCCTGGGTCTGCTCCAGGATCAGAGGCAGTGTGTCTGTGCACACCAGTTGCTGGGGCACATGGCTGGGCAGGTGCTCCTGCAATCATGTCCTGCTTGAAGGTTTCCCAGGGGGCAGCAGGCTGGCCGCTGAATGAACAAGTGCTGGATTAGATGACTCCTTGGTCTGATGCAGCATGGCCCTTCTAATCCTCAGGAGAAGCCCAGCAGCTGTTGCAGCATCATATCACATTAAACTTCACAAGGTTTATTAGGCGTTGGTTGGTTGACTGACTGACTGACTGACTGATTGCTGTTGTCTTTTAGACACAAGATGCCACTGTGAGATGTCCTGGCTAGAAGCAAGAGCAGGTAATTTGTTCTCTGTTTTGAACCAGTTGCTATCCTGGCTTCAGTTACACGCAAATAATTTGATAATACCTTTGAAGCTTGCCAAATGTGACTTGTATGCACCATATTTTCATTTGTGCTCACTGAGCTTCTGGTTCCCTAAGAGACCTGGCCCCAGTCAGTTCCTAACGATTTTAAGGAATGGCAGAATTGGAACAGCCCTACTAGTTATTGCATCAGTTTGTGCAAAGTAACCTTCAAAAGGTGAGCCCCTTACTCCTGGCCAGTTTGCATAACATGACTTACCCTTGAGGAGCTGCAGTGCGTGCTGATTGCCATTATGCTTATGCAGCTCTGGCCACGGAGGGTTACTTTAGGGTTAAACAGCTTTAGCAGAGGATTAAGGAAGGCAGAGAAGGGGCCAAATAGACCTCCCAAGGAAGGGAGCGCCACAGTGTGGGTTCGACCACAGAGAAGGCTTTTTCATGAACTCCAGGTCATCTAATCCCAGTCTTATCGGGAATACAGGTAAGAGCTTCCCACAAGTATGAGCTGTTGTCCCCATGAGTATGTTTAACATTCTAAGGCTGCAATACTGTGCATTCTTATTTGGGACTAGTTGCCATTAAATTCACTGGGCCTGAATGTGTACGATTAAACATATGCATAAGATTATGTCAGGACTTGGGGAATCCATGGTCTTCCAGATATTGTTTTTAACAATATACTTTTAACTCCCATCAGCCCTGGGTAGCATGACCAGTGGTCAAGGATGATAGGAGTTGTAATTCTAGAACATTTGGAGGACCACAAGTTCTCTGCCTCTGGATTACTCTGATATTGCAAGAATAGTGGGGGTGATTTGTGTGATTATTCACAACATCCTGAAGTGTATTCTGAGGCACATCTTTTCGGGACAGTGAATGTGTTTAAGCCACTTTGTGTCATGCTTTAAAAGGTAATCAGGCTTCAACTAGTTTATTGTCGTGAAATTACCTTCTTTATCACAAACATTTTATTGATCAGTCATTGATTAAGACTTAGTGTGTTGTTGGCTTGGTAAAATGTTGAATGGTGATCAGTCCAATTCTCAATATTGTAAATTAGAATTTAAATAGAAGTCATTTTGTTGAATCTCAGAGGGTCACTGTGTTATCACTATTTATTCCATTTCTATACCGCCTGTAGCTGAAGCAAAGGCCTTCCCCAATTACGCATGCCTGTGTTCCTTGTCTTTTTCAGACACCAATTAGGAGTAGATGCTAAATGTAGAGAATAACTTACCAGACTGGTGCAATGCTGAGATGAAATCCATTCTGAAGTAAACAGAAATATTGCCAATTAATTTTGCCTTTCTGCCTATTAACGGAAGAATATTGTTATCCCATTGCAAGTAACCAGGAAGCAACAAGGCATCCCACGAGCTGTATGCTGAAACTACTCTGGAAGATTTCTCCACAGTCTCACAAATAGATTTTTAATCTCTGCTGTAAAGAAAATAGAAACATTTATCTGGAAAGTGACTTACATTCTGAAATGAATAAAGCTGAGCTATGTATTGAGTAAGGCTTTTGTTGTCAATCCTTACGCTTGCTGAATGCCACTTAGTGCCGGAAGAGACATTACTTGAAATCTTTATCCAGCAGCTTTGTCTGTCCCTAGTTTTCACTCTTGAGTGGCACAGCGGGACCCCGGAGTGGGAGGCAGGGAGTCAGCTTTCAAGATATGGATTGGGTGTCCTGGTCCTACACTAGAGAAAAGATATAGCTGCTAGATGTCCCTCATTAACATGTTTGATTTTTTCTATGGAGTTAAATAAATGTCTGTATAAGATAATGTCAAAAATCACATAGTGATTGCTGCTAGCGCACTTCGATTGACACACCCAGATACTCATGCATTTTTCCCTTTCTCACGAGGGCCATTTTCCCCTGCTGGCATCTGAATATATGAATAGCTAAAATGAAAGAACCACAGTTCTCCCCCTCATTCATTCATTCATTCATTCATTCATTCATTCATTCATTCATTCCCCCTCCAGTGTGTAGACAGGGGAAGCTGAAGCAGCACACTGGAGCCACATGCAGCCACCCTCCCACTCATGGGACAGGTAATTGTCTGTGCAGGACTCCTGAGTTTCTTATTGATTGATCTGATTTGCATCCCTAACTTCCAGCTGTGAAAAATGGCACTTAAGGTGGCCTTCACAACATCATTTTAACAATTGCTACTTAACATGTATCCCAAGCCCCTGGTTTCAAGTGAAGTTGTTACATAGCGTCATGTTTCATTTATACAGGGGTGGGCAACAGCTCATAGGGGTGGGCTACATTGATCCGTTGGGGGCTGCCCAACACTGGACTCACTCCTTCCAGAAATGCCCTTCTGCTCACCTACGAGGCACACGCGTCTTCTGTCCCTTCTTTCAGTGCCCTAGCATCACAATTTTGGCTGCCACCACAATTTGACTGGCTTCAGCAGCTAAAACGGAAGAGGCGAGCACTGCAAAAGGCCAGGGGCTGCTTGCAGACCAGAGGTGACCGGTTGTGCACCCCTGCATTAAAAGCAGTGGGACACATTTTCTGAAGCTGTGTCCCAGTGGTCCCTTGGAACCTTACCCTACTTCGTGGCAGAAAAACTTAGGGGCGGGGGCGGACATTTTAACCAAATTTCTATGTGCGTTGAGACGGAAAATGCTGTGCCTGGTAGGATTTTTTCCTGTCTAAATGGGTATAGGATTGGATCCTAGATAAATATTCATGTCGCCTTGATGCTTCAGAAAGAAATTGTATGAAAAGCAAATATGTAATTAGAAATCCAAACACTTTGCTTGTTAATTGTTTTTCAGAAGTATGTCATTTTTCTATCATCTCCTCTATGTTTCTCTAACAATTCAAAATGAAAGTGTGTGAATATTAGCATTTCATAAGAAAATGTACTGAGCTTATATTTCTGTTCTGAAGAAGAAGAAAAAGAACTCTGGTTAATTTTTTAGATTATATTTAATTTGTGCTGATGATTTTTAATATTTTTATGGAAGAGCATCAAGACCAAAACTTAAGCTTTGATTTAAAAAATGGTGTACATATAATGAGAAGGGAAAGTCAATTTTGGTGAATTTTCCAAAGAAATGTAAAGCATTCAGATTTACAACTTCGTTAGAGCATATACTGACTTTTGTTATAAATGCCTTTGCAACTTTGACACAGTTCTGTCCTTACACCAGCCGGATGTGGATAATTATAAAACAGAATAGGACAAGAGATGCCCAAGTCCTTTGTTCCATGAGAAAGTGGCTTAGAGATCCTGGGATGCAGCAGAGGTATTGCTGTGCCAGCAAAATGGAGGCCCATCAGAAGGATAGCACATGGGGCTTTTCTGCATGAGGCATTTATCATATGCTTGGCACACCCTACTCATAGTTATTTGCAGGTTCTTCAGATGACATTGTTATCTTACAGTTTCACTTCTGCACCTGAACTGCACTACCAGTGAGTTTTCTCAGAACAGGGAAATACAACGTTTAATTCTGAAAGAAAAGAAGGAATTGTTTCCTCTTGCTTATTTGTGCTATTCCATTATACTAAAGTGCCATCTAGTGGCTATGTGGTAGGAAAGCAGAGAAGAAGATGCTCCTTGTACAGTGCTCAGATCTCAGTTTTGCAGCAAACCAAGAGTAGATGTGATGAATTAAGAGCAGATCAAGAGATCCATCTACTACTGGAGATTCATCCAGCTGTTGTGGTAAAAAGCTCAATTGTCAGAGATGGGCCAAAATGGGTTATTCTGAAGGCATGTTTGGGAGGCTGTGCTTATGCAAAATCCCAATCCCCCTCATCCCTTGATTTTCCTCAAAAGAAGACCTGAATATGCCCACCGTTGAGCTGGTTTAGTTAATCCCCTTCTGTTGTCAGTGGGTGCTGTTTGGGATGCAAGCTGAAGAACTGGAAGGAAAAAAAATCAAGAAGTCACCTCTCTCACACTTCCCAGCTACTCAGAGCAAGCCAGCAGGGCTTTGGAGATTCCATGGTGCTCCACCATGGAATCTCCCTCATCACTTCTTCCACCACCATCAACCCCTGTCTGAAGGAAGAAGAAGGAAAAATATCTTTCGGACTTTTGCTGGGAGCTTATTACACATCCAGCTGTTTAGGAAAGGTTGCACATGGACCTATATATACGCTCTTCCTGGACTATACCACTTCAGGTTGCAGGTGTAAGACTGAATGCAGTCCCAGGGCAGGTGGGGAATGGGGGAGAACCTTTATGCTTCCCCCATAATAATGTCCATCAAGAAGCCCGTACCCTCTTCTTCATTGTGCCATTTTGGTTTATCTCCCCTTTCTGGAAAACAATGGGGTAACCGTGAAACATGACATTCCTCTACCTGAAATATGACATAGTCCAACCTAGAAATATCTTTATCACCTGATTTCATGGTATGTAAAGGAAAATTGTGTATAGTAAATACTATTGCATGCATGGAGACATGGTGAGAATAGTGCATTTGTCTTAATGGTTAACTAGGTTGGGTATTTGAGTTCCTAATTCAATGTATACTGAAATGACTAAATAATGACAGTTTATCCCATCATTAGCAATATTTCTTCATGCAAAAAACCACCTAGTTCTGGGGAAAATGTGTCAGCCTGGAGGAGCTTTCTTGGTAGACTGAAGCCTCTCTCTATTACTTTTTGAAAGTGTAGTGGTGATGTCATAATATTTATAGCAGCTTGTTAAAAAGGTAAGCTTCAAGGAAAATGAATGTAATATACTGCTAAAACTCATGTAGGGTGGTTAGATTTTATTTAAACTGAATGTGCTTTGAATGGGTATTTAGTGTGCTGATTACTGTGTACTATGGGGTTTCCAATGACCTAAATTTTTCTGCTGCTGCTTGGAATAGCAGGAAGCTCTTAATTTGCAAATGGAAATTGTAAAAGATTCGGCATATCTTGGCTCAATTATCAATTCAATTAGAGACTACAGCCAAGAAATTCGAAGAAGACTGAGACTTGGAAGGGCATTGATGAAGGAACTAGAAAGGATAATCAAGTATAGGGACATTTCACTGTTCACCAAAGCCAAGTTCATCCACACTATGTTATCCCTATTACTGTGTGTGGATGTGAAAGCTGGATAGTGAGGAAAACTGACAGGAGGAAAACTGGTGCATTTGAAAGATGGTGCTGGAGGAGAGCTTTGTGAGTACGTTGGCCTGATAGAAAAACAAACAAGTGGATCCTGGATCAAATCAATCAGCTCAGAAATGATGAAACCTGTGTGAAGAGCCACTGCAACTACGTGAGGCTTCAGAAAACTGCCTGCACATTGAGGGGGCAATGGGAATTTGTGAGGGAGAGAGCAAGGCCTAGTACATTTCCCTCCACTGGTGTTTAGGCTTCCCACTTTTCTAATCCCTGCTTAGGGCTAACGTCCCAATTATATGGCAGCCTAGGACCAGAGTAAAGTATATATAGTTTAACAGCCCTCTTGGGTGAGGAAAACTCATTTCTTGAGGTGATGTTGGGCAATAATGGCTACTAGTCATGAGGGCTATAGACTTGCCTCCAGAATCAGACACTTTATGCCTTTATATGCCAGTGGCTGGTGGGCCTGGGTGGGAGGGGGCTATTCCTCTCATACTAGGTGGACTCTTGGTCTGAGTCAGCCATTCTTTTGTACCTATCCCCCCCCCCAAAACAACAACAACAACAACAACCGTATAGCCTTGATGTGTCCATTCTGTGTTGCTGGGTATGTGCAGACAGGGTTGTGTGAGGAATCTGTTTGGTGTTTGGAACAAACTGGATTCTCTGAGCTCAACTCTCTGGACTCCAGTCCATGTTGCAACAGCCTGAGTCTAAGTTTCTGGAGAGCATGGCCAGAGTTCATGAGGTGTGCGGTCCAGGAATTGGGCCCCTCATGCTGTGCAAGCAGCATCCCTCTGCCATTCTATTGTTGCTGCACCTGACATGGAAAAAGGTTGCTGGATGTGTGTTCTTTACTCCATGGGAGTTTGCGGATGTCCCCTTGGCTTGGCTTGGCTTGGCTTGGCTTGGCTTGGCTTGGCTTGGCTTGGCTTGCAAGACCAGGCCAAGCATGAGATGAAGCCTGCGAATGCTAAAAGGACAGGTTTTGTTAGGGTTTGTCCCAACACTACACAAATTCTTAGCCATGTATGAAAATCAAGAGCCTCTACACTCAGTATGAAGTGCTATGTAGAGTATGTGTGTAAGTCTGAGCTTAATGGGACATCCACAAAAGTGCCCAAATCTTACCTAAAGCATGTGTGGGGAACTTGTGCCTTCAGGAAGGAGATTAAGCTTGCGACTGATAACAAAAGGTGTTGCATGCTTAGGTTTGTCTAACAGAAGAATGCCAGAAGTGTGTTTATCATTGTTGAATGATAAACAGAGGTAATAGGATTGCCTGCCTGGGGTGGGCTACAGAAAACTTGCAAAAAGCATTGAGGTGGGTACATCTGAGTCAGACTCAGAGTTCAAGAAAGATGCTTATCTCCTCTTCAGCTATGATCTAAAATAACAGTAAGGATCAACATTGAAATAGTAGTGAATATGCAGGACTCGCATGTTTTCTGGCTGATCTCTGTGGTTTGTATTAACTTTAAGAAAAGGTCCTTCTTTAATAGCTAACTTAGATTTATTGGGAATTATCACATCACTGTGGGAGATGAAACAACTTCTGTAATTGTTGCTAAAAATAATGTTCTTGAAAAATATTGAAACATATTTTTTCATTATTGAAAAATAATGAAAGTGGATTTTAATAATTGACTTCATTGTTATCCTGATATGACTTTCTTTCCTTTCTTTTAGTTTGCCCCACACAGGTTTTACTCATGGATTTAAGTGATGCTTCAGTCTTCCTTGAATCTTTGCATGCCCCACAAATATTGCTTTCCTATTTTGGAAATCTGCAAAGTGACAGTTTGTCTACTTTGTACACACACGAACAAAAAACCAAAAAAACCCACAGAGCTGTAGATTAAAAAAAGAACAGATCATTCCCTGTGTCCTTGGAGGCTGGCTCTGGCAAGGAGGAGCTCTTGCAGACCACCTGCTCTGCAGCAGCCCCAGTTATCCCAGGGCCAACTCACCTGAATGCCTCCCTCCGAGGAAGCACCTGTCTTTGGACTGGCTGGTCTCTCTTGGGGACCAGCCTGGGCATTGTTCTGCCCTGGCTGGCCTTGCTGCAGCAGGAAAATGAATGGCAAATCTCTCTAGGGTGGTGGGGAGGCCAATGCCTTGCTCTGAGAACCTCTCAGAATGGGATCTTGGCTCCCCAGAGTGACCATACGCTTGCCCTATGCCTGTGTTTCCCCGCTGCACCAGCATTGCTTGTATGTCAATCAACATAATAGTTGGCCCTCCACATTCAAGGACTGCAGGACTCCTATGACTGCGGAAAAATTGTGAATATCTTTAGCTCCACCCCTCCTGCCCAAACTCACCAGGACCTCCTCTTTGCAGCAAGGAACTGTTGGAGGGATTTCTCTCCTCAAATGTGCAGGGCACCCTTTCACGTCCTCTCTGTGGCGATGCTTTGTTTGCCTCCCTCTCTCCCCTTCACTTCCTCTCTTTCTATGGTGATGATTTTCCCCAGGGTTTTTTTTTTTAATTAACATGCTTTAGGGCAGTTTGTTCATAAGTATGGGTTGTTTGTAACTTGGACGTTCATAACTTGGGGTTTGTCTGTAATATAATAATTTATAAAGCAGTGGTGGAATGGCTTGGATACCACCCCTTGATTTCTGTTCATGTGCCCTTCCCTAGCGTCTTTCCACATCACGTGAAATGTTTTTCTGGCTAGTTCCCTGGCCATCAAGACTGGCTTCCCTCACTGCAAAATATGTGAACATGCCCCGTGTGAACTCCTGGAAACAATCACAATCCTGAGCACTAGTCTGCCAAAAATGTTTGGACATGTGCTTGGGTTGGATTTGTGACACTTTCCTGGATCAATTTTCTACACATTTCCTAATCTGTATGTTATGTTTCATCTGCATAGTGAAAGCTCCACTTTAGTCTCTGGAAGAAAGTTGCACAAATTTTGTGTATGGTCAGGGCAAAACTTGCAAAAAGCTCCCGTTCCCAAGAGGGAGCAGTGATCACAAACTGGAACGGGAATCAGGCATATTGCTGATTTGGCCAGGGCAGCTTATTTTATATTGTATATTTGTATTTTATTTTAATGTATATATTTTAAAATGTTATTTATGATGTTTTAATTTATTGTTGTAAGCCGCCCCGGGGCTTCGGCGAATGGGGCGGCATAAAAGTGTTTTAATAAATAAACAAATAAATAAATAAATTTGCTCATTGCTAGTCTAAGACGAACTGGGGAGCCACAAAGGAGCTGTCCTACCCTGATTACAAAATGACTTTTCTCAGGAAGTCCTCCAGGCAAAACCTTGTTTATTCTCTCAAGCACTTTGATATGCTTTGAAAGTATTTAGTATTAGCTGCTTCCACTGTCCCTCCTTTACAGGTTTAATCTTTTATTTGTCACTATTATTATTGTTTCACTCAGATTTACATCTCCATTTCATCTAGCCCAGGTGAGGCCACTGCCTGGACTCATCAATGGACTGGATGCAGGGCAACAAATAAAAGCTCAGTTCAGATAAGACAGAGGTGCTCTTGGTGGCCAGTCTACCTGCCCAGAGGGTGGGACTTCAACCTGTCCTGGATGGGTTCACACTCCCCTGAAGGACAGGGTCTGAAGCTTGGGGCTGCTCCTGGACCCAAAATGATCACTTGAGTGTCAGGGACACTCAGTGGCCAGATGCACCTTCTTTCAGCTACAATTAATTTACCAACTGGGGCCCTACCTGTGGACAGGTAGGGCCTAGCCACAGTCACCCATGCTCTGTTAACTTCTCAAGTGGACTACTGTAATACGCTGTGCATGGGGCTGCCCTTGAAGACCGTCCAGAAACTTCAACAGGGTGGTGCAATGGCTGCGGGGAGCAGGACCACATGCCCATGTGACCCCTATATTACATCATCTTCGGTGGTTACAAGTTGAGCTCCAAGCATAATTTAAGGTGCTTGTTTTAACATACGAAGTCCTAAATGGCTCAGCACCAGGATAGCTGAAGGACTGCCTGCTCCCACATGCACCAGCTGGCCTTTAAGATTGGTTTTGGAGGCCCTTCTGAAAGAGTCATCCTCCAAGGAGGTAAGGAGAATGGCAAATTGAAGAGGGGCCATCTCGGGAGTTGAGTTCCACTTATGGAATAGACCCCCAAAAGCAGTTCACCTGGAGCCCTCATTACCATCTTTTCGGTGCCAGGCAAGACAAATTTATTTTCTAGATACTGTATTTTAATAAATGATTTTATCTGATAATTTTAGTGGTATTGTTGTTTAATTTATATTGTTTTGAATTGTTATCCCTCAGCTGCATATTGTTTTGCTCTGTTGCTTTTCTTGTTTTATGGTTGTGTGTTTTAATTGATTATTTTTATTGTTTGGTCTTTAGGCCAATTTAGCACTATATAAGTTTAATAATAAATAACAGTGTTTGAAACAAACAAACAGCCTTTGTATTCGGGGTACACATGCTGGGAGTTGCTCTATCTGGGAGCCAAATATGAAGTTCTCAACAATATATTCCTTTGTCAAATTAATTGATTGCTTGTCTTTATATACCACCTTTCTGGGCAGGAAGCTCCCTGGAACAAAGTCAGGCAACAAAATTAAAAACAAACAATTACAAAGATAAAATACCAGCTACAAAATTCCAAATTCTCCAACTACAAATCAGCTTCATTTAGTCAATTAAAAACTGTTTAAACTGAAAGCTAATTCAAATAACCTTACTGAAGGGACCCAGAGCGAGCGAGCACCGGATGTACTTCCTGGGAAGGCAATGCCAGTGATAAAGCCACCTCTAAGAAGGATCTCAGGAATTTGATGGATGGCTTTGGCAAGCATGTGAAACAACCGTGGCCAATTGCATGTCCCAAGCCTGAGCAGGCCTATAGAAGTGCAGTTGGGTCTTCAAATACGCCATGTCCAAGCCATGCAGGGCTTTATGGGGAGCAACCAGGCCTTTGAATTGAGTTCAGAGAGGCTGGGGAAATGGGTGTAGCAGGTATGAACAGTGCTGGGAGTGTGAAAGACTGTCATTCTTGGTGCACATTCTTCAGACTGTCTGACTTGAGAGGAAGAGGAGGAGGAAGAGCAGAGGACGGGCTCAGAATGTGGGCCTGTGCCAGACATTGAGATGAGCAAAGCGGAGATATTTATGGGCAGGCAGCTTTTCAGAATAACCAGATGTACTGTTGGTGGGAGAGGACTTGGGACAGGGAAGTTTCTCAGAGACAGATGAGGCAGGTATGACTCTCAAGCCCATGATGTGACCTCAGCAGAGGAGGATGGTCCAATTAGAGAAATGGCATATGGAGAGGAGGTGTGCTCATTTTCAGAAGCCCCTCTCAGAAGGATGGAGGCCAGGCATGCTCATAAGGAAAGACCTTGGAGCTAGATTGGGTTCAACAAACTGCTCTGCACATGCTCAGAGATTCGTTCTGGGTTTTCGTGCTTCTGAAAAATGTTTTGGTCAATAAAGAATGAGACTTTGAATGTGCAAAGGGCTCTTGACAAACCTGCTCTAATCAGCAGGTTCCCACAAAGGAGAAGGCACCTGCACTTTGTTCCAGCTGACACCTCCGAGTTGTCTTCAGCCTCCAGTTGAGTAACATGCCCTCTAACATATTATGGACAAGCGTTCAGTAACTCCATGTGTTTTGCAATATGATGATATCAGTAGAGATCTAGTCTGGTACTGATCTTGCCAGATCCTTAACAGGTCACAAGATACTGTTGTATTCAGGAGGTGAACCAGAATTTGTTCTTTTCTGCAAGGTTTTTAAAGTTCACTTTGATCCATTTGCTCTGTCATTTATATTTAGTCTTAACAGCCTTAGAAGATTTCAGTGCATTTTTCAGAGCTTGAATTCGACATCACATGATCCACACAAGTTTTTTTTAAAAATCTTGTGTAAACAAGGCATTTTATAGCATCTCTGAGTAAATGGTTAACATGCAAAAGTTCTCTACATCACCAAGTAAGTTAGTTGTCAAGTTTCAGGTCAGAATGTTTTGCTGAATTCTGAAGAGTTTTCACAGGAACACTTGGTAGACAATCTTTTTCAAGATTCCTGCTCAGTCCCTGTTAAAATCTCATGCAGAAAACCTGAAAGTACCCTGCTGGGATAGACAAGAATGTGGATCTATACCCCAATTTGGGTTTTATACTGCTGCGCAATTGTGGTGTGCCGGGAGAAACAAGTTACCTCCCGGAACAATGTTTTACTGAAAGAAAATTTGGCTGAAGATAGCAATTATTCTGGAAGAAACAGAGCCAAGAGGACGCCATCCAGGGGAAGCTATTGCCGACTGCGAGGCTGCTGTCCCGGCAGAGATGATGACTGCACCATTCAATACCACGAGAGGAATGCCATATGCTACTGCGACGATTTCTGCATGTCAGACCCTCCTGGCTCTGCAGACTGCTGCCCGGATTTCTGGACTGCTTGCCACAGGCTTCCTCTTAGGCAACTGGTCCCTCCGCACATGAGAACACCTCCGCCAAAGCAAGTGGGTAAGTGCTCGGAACATGCTAAGGCCGTGTCCTCATGTCTCCTCCCGAATGCAACTAACCCAGTGCTCTGCTGCGGTTTATTTTTAGAACTGGACAAGTGATAGGCGCCTCCGGGGAAGAGTGTTCCAAGGCTCTTCAAGGTACCCGGAATGCAAACCCACAATGTGCCAAGCTCAGTCAGGAAACGATGGAAGGAAGGTGCGCACAGCATTACAAGAGCAAACTTCCACTCTCGCAACAGGACTTTCTGCTTCCTCTGCCAACCCTGCATGCCAGTCCTCTGATCCACCAGTCCTCTGTAGCGGGGGGGGCGGGGGGTGCAGTTAGAAGGAGGAGCGGTTCTGCCAACAGTATGCATTCTGCTGTCCAATCGACATACTCCCTAGAAGAATGTTAGTGATATTTAATGGTCGTGTTCTTAAACATGTTTTATTATATTACAAAATCCACCCTTCATCCCTGACTTCATTCAGAAAAAGTCACACTAGATAAAGCTTAGTATCCTATGGTATAAAGTTTTTAAACGATCAAAATCAGTCTAATATGCATTACCTCTCTTTCTACCTCCTACATCCATAAACCTAACAACCCACCTTTCCTCTTAATGTGTGTTTTCATGTGCTCAATTCAACTGGGGAAAAAAAAATCATAGAAATTCTAAAGATGCCCAAGGCCTCAAAAGAGCATCTGTCTACCCATCTATGTCTATCATTATTTCTAGACAGCCTTTAAGGGCAGAACTCGTACAAGATAAAAACACATTAAAAAAAAAGGAGGTAATCCTTCTTTGTGCTCTCAGTTTCAAAGTCAGGCAAAGGTTCTACACCTGAAGGCAGAGGGATCTTGCATGAAAAGGGGAAGGAAACTTATGGGACAAGGTTAGTTAATTAGTCTCTTCTTGTTGAAGCAGTCTTTTAGATTCCAGACATGGAGTTTTAAATCCAAGTAGCTTAACAACATCATGTTGACTTTAGGGGAATGTACAATTTTATGCTTGCTCCTTCAAGATCCCGGCTTTACCTAAATTCAAGCTAGGATTAGAAAGTAGGCACATCAGAGAAATCTGTAATGGATACAAATAGGTCAGGTGCCTGTGAATCTGACTTGTGCATTGTGTGCAGACCAACATTTTCTGAGTCACATACGTTCTGTGGACTTGCAGACTGATTTTTCACTTTGGGTGAGGATTTGTGCAAATTCACACCTATGCAAATGTGGCTTTGCACATTACTACATTTAACCGATTAGAGCATTTGTTCCAGCATCCATGTGCAGGAATTAGCATGAGTACAGCAAAGCGAACAAAGCAGAGCTCATTGATTTCAACTGTGAGTGGATGGTGGAGGAAAAGACATCTGATAATCTGGGAAGAACAGGCAGAAAGAATTGAACAAAATTAATACATCGCTAATTAGAAAGTGATAGCTACTTTATTTCAGTATGGAGTAGTAACATGTATAGTTCAAAAGTCTCATTCGGGATGTAGTCTGCTTGGGATCCAATGCCAGCAAAGGCTCCACTCATATAAATTGTTAGAGTAAATCCCTTTGGCATTTACTCCCATGTAAGTGGACATAGGATTGCAGCCTTACCATAAAACCTTATGCATGACTATGCATTCTATGCACAATTGAAAAGGGCTGTGATGTAAGACTCATTTATTTTGGAACAAGCCCACTGACCAGAACAGAATTTTCTTCTGAATACACAGGAATGGGACTGCACTGTAAGGAATGTGGGAATAACCAGCACTCCTGTATTTAGCGCCATAAGCAAAGTTTACTAGATTCTGAAGTACCATAACAAGACAAGGCTGCAATTTCCTCACAAGTGGTTTCAAAGTCACTGTGCTGTGAAGATCAACTGTGTTTTATGTGGTCTTGTGTATTGCTTTGCAAATGACACTTGTGTCTCTTTGAAGGGGAGGGGGAGACATTTTATAATTTAAAGGAAACTCATCAATTCTATCTGCAGTTTCATTTGAATGCTAAAATTAAATAACTTCAGCCAGTGTGCTGAATAATTATTAACTTTGTTGAAATGTTCAACAGTGAGCACTTTTTTGTTTTGAAGCAACACTGAAAAATTGATCTGAAACACTGAATTGTGAATTGCAATATTCAATAGGAATAAAACATACACACAGAGGCTTCAGTTCTGGTTTGGCTGAAAACAGAATAATGTTTGGAAAAAAAGGAAGGAAGGAAGGAAGAAAAAGGAAGGGTGCTGTTTCATACTTCAGCCTCTGCACTCTCAGCAAGAAAGGCAATCCCTACAGAGTACAAATTACATTTGGCACATTTCTGTTAAATAACAGCCAAATATCGCCGGCACATTTTCTTCCAGCTGGCAGTCCGGCACCAAGCGGCCCTTGCCAAGAAAAGCCTGTGGAGAGTGCTGCATTGTTCCCAGGGATGGCAGAGGAGCCCTCTTCTGAGCCGCTGTCTGGTGGGATGACTCATGTGGAGGTGCTTGGTGGCAGAGCATGATGGGACATGTTCTCCAGGGGTGTGGAGGCAAGAAACTAAGTGGGGAGGGGAGGGTCTCCACCATTCCTGGAGAGGCAAGTCCCAATATGTGCTCTCACCCACTCTGAAAAGAAAGGGCTGATGGGTTTTTCTGGATGAAGCTGTTAATATGTTGTATCTCTTTTTTGGCTTCATCACAGAACTGAGATCCAAGTGCTACATATGGAGCTTTTCTTTTCTGGCTTTTCTGCTTTGGCACCGTAGTGTTGTAGCATCGTGCAAATTGCACAAGAGGGCATCACACCAGCTTTGACTATTAAATGCCACATTTTCTGTGCTGGAGAGGAGAGGAGAGGAGTGGAGCAACCTCACCAAAGGCACTGGCTAGATCCAAAAGCAAAACAGGAGGGTCACGACATCATGTAAATAACCCATAAACAACCAGGAGTAGAGAATAACAAGCACATGATTCATACCTCCTAGAGAAGAACCCTATGTCCAAATAAAGGAACAAGATGAAACTTCTTTTTTCATGGAGGATCTGATGGGGGATCAGAGTGTTCCTATTGTTCCATTCTTGAAATATTTGCACAGTGCCCGGACAATCATAAGCAGTAGGTTGGTATTAGTAGCTCAAGCCCAGCTGAAGCCAAATGCATCTCAGGCAGCGCTTCTGTGCAAGTTTACCTAGTCGTTGAGCATCACCTGTGTGCCTGGAACTTTGCTGATTGCAAGAGGAGCTGGCAGTCAAAGTTTGACCCAGGGGAAGCAGCAGAGGAAAGGGAGGGAGGTGGAAGCAGAGAGGCCCCTGCAGGCATTTCCCTTGTTGCACGAGGGAGTCCTGGCAAAGCACCACGGTGAAAGTCGGTTTCGAGGCTCAATGTGGAAGGAGGAAGAGAGGAGGCATCACACGGCTGTTTTGAGAGGCCATTTGAGGCATGAGGGGCAGCAGGGCAGGGGACCTGTGGATCCTGGAGGGTGGTGGAGTTGCACGAGTGAGTATCGTACACAGGGAGGTATCACATCACAACAGCAGAGAGATAAAGTGGGGCAGGAGCGAGCATGGAGGGCTTCAAGGGTGAGAGCAAGGAGCTTGCCCAGGGTCTGGGAGTGGATGGAAGCCAGTTAGGGATTTAAGGAAATGAATCATTTGGTTACAATGAAGGGAGGCATGAATGATTTGGCAGCAAGGTGCTGAAAAGGGGTGAGGGGACTCAGGTGAGGTCATGAAGGGCTAGGCAGGTGAGCAAAACTCTAATCTTTGTGTGAGAGCTGACCAAGGCAAGGACTAGAGCTTTTGCTGATGGGACAGGGAGGAAAGGAGGACAGGGATAAGGGGTGTGATACCTGTTCCAGCAATGAAGGAACAATAAAATATTGTCTAATGTAAGGACATTTCAGTGGAACCAAGACAAAGTTCATTCACACCATTGTATTCCTAATCACCGTGTATGGGTATGAAAGCTGGATTGTGAGGGAAGCCGACGGGAAGAAAACATGCATTTGAAACGCGGTGCTGGAGGAGAGCTGGAGGTGAATACCCTGGGCAGACAGAAAGAGGAACAAGTGGATCCTAGAACAGATCAAGCCGGAGCTTTCCCTAGGAGCAAAAATGACAAAGCTTCTCACTTCATGTGAAGGCAAGACTCCTGGAGAAGACAGTCATTCTAGGGAAAGTCAAAGGCAGAAGAAGAAAAGGAAGACCAACTATGAGATGGATCGATTGCACAAAGGAAGCCGCAGCCTTGATTTAGGCCAGCTAAGTAGGGTTGCTGTGGACAGACAATCTGGGGGGCTTTCATTCATGGGGTTGCCATAAGTCAGAGAAGACTTGACAGCACAGAGCACCAACCAGCGGCGGTTCAACTGGGTGGACATAGTATAATCATAAAAGTAAAATATACAGAGGGGGTTGGGAAGAGACATGAGAAACTTAGCCTTGGACAGTCATGAGCCTGAGATAATGAAACATCCAAGCAGGAATACTGGTGGGCAGCTGGAGATGCTAGTTGGGAGTAAAGCGCATTGAACACATTAGGATTACTTGAGACAAACAAGCGCAGGATTTGTCTGCACATGCCAGTGAAACCAGTGGAAGATGTAAGTTCTGGCTGTCTTGAATCCCATTGTGCTTAACTGAGTCAAGTCACAACTAATCTGTGCTGAATTGGGGCTAATAATAACATTTCTGAGACATTCCAGATTGATTACTTTGCCGATTGTGTTGTATTTAGAACTAGTCAACAGGGAAATGCACGTTCAATTCCACTTTTGCATCTGTCTAATGGAGTTTCAGATAAAGCTTCATATAAGACAACAAATACAGAATGATTAAATCTTTGCAAAAATGTAAGTCATTATACTGCAACAAGGCTGACTTGAAAACAACATTTACAATTGCCATTTTGGATTGGATTCTGAGAACCAATTTGTTCAGGCGTGATTAATTTATTAATCAAGTTCACAGATGCAGAAAATTGCTTGACCCAGAGTAGGAACAAGATGCCATCCTCTGTCTATTGGCATAAGATGCACCATCGATTAGCTTGTTGCATGCTAATTATTTCCTCCTTTTCTATGGCTTATATTGGCAGGTTGCTTCAAAAATGGTCAGTGGTATGGAGAAGGAACAACAATGAAGGACAACTGCAACTCTTGGTAATGGCCAGGAAAGAAACAAATGAAACATCACCCTCATTAAGCTTGAGCTGACCCAGAAGCACTTATTCTAAATTCTTAGTACCTGCATGAAAATGGCATACCTGAAAGTTGTCTGGGCTGCAGCAGAAGGGCGAGGGGTACCCATAGGTGGCTTGAACATGTGCTGCTGTGATGGCACGGCCTCGGGAGGCTCTGATGGGCTGATGGGGGCATCTACACAGGTCAGGGGTTGTGCCTCCTGCTTCTTTAAATATTTGCATTGGTGCAAGAAGCCAAGGAGGTGAGGAGAGGGAAAACGGGAGGATGCACACGGTTGCACCAGATTTCATGGCCATTGTGTGAGCACAGAGCAGCACTGGAGTGGAGAGGGGCAGGATAGAGGGGGCATTGGCTGTGGATCAGTAATTTCTTGTCCCTTTGACAAGCAGCTGTGCTGTGGCTGCTTATTCTGGAAATAGCCAGCCGACCCATTAGGCAGGCTGAGACCGACATGGCAGGAATCGGTTGTTGGAGGGCAGGGAGCAGCAGTGAAGTATCCAGATGTTCTGCGGCGTGTGTGTGTGCTGTGGTGGGAAGGGAATAGCAAGCCGATCATTTCAGGGCCACGCACTGCGAACTGTTGATCTGTTTGCAACAATGGTCTCACTTGGCTTCTTGTTCCAGCAAATGTGTAAAGAGCCAGTGGGAATGCTCTGATGAAACCTGCCTCATCCGTCCCAGTTTAATTCAGCAGATCAATGATGGGAACTATGGGTAAGAATCCTTTTCTGCAGTACTAAGTTGCAGCTAATTTCTGTATTATTGTAAGAGAAAAGAACAGCTCTGCTTTCATGTTCTAACACAGGGATCTTGAAAGAGTCATGTCCATATGTTATCACAATTGGAACTCCTTTGAGCAAACAGCGCAAGCCACATGTATCTTTTCTAGCTTGTTTCCCTACTTAGAAATAAATTGATGCAATGATTCATTTTCAGGTGGGGAAACAAATCCAGTCAGTGCTAGTGAATAATCTGTGGGTGTTTCTGTTTGTTGTCAGGGTAGAAAGTGCTGATAAAAGCAATGTGCAACTTTAAAGCTTTCATCCTTCCTTTTATAGCTCACATGAGACATTTATTCCATTTATGTAATAGATCCATCATATTAGGAAAGAATCCGTCATTACCAAGATTTGCATTTTTCCATATTCCTTGATCCCATGGGAAAGAAAATGACATTACGGTGATTTCCATAACTCACTTCTGATAACATAGTATCAGTCTGATAGCTTTATGCACTACCATTAGCAGTGGGTAAAGCACAATTAAAAAGGTAATTAATGGACTTGCTGGCCTCTTCATTACTTTGTAATAATAGCCTTCACCAGCCTGTACTGTCGGTACCCACGGCGTGATGTATCTACCTACTGAGGATAATCATCTATGCAGCTGATGAAGTGAGTTCTGACCCAATAGCGTGGTTAGTGCATCAGGAGCCACCAAAGAATCAGTGACTTTGAATGGGCCACAGCGCTTCATGTGGGAACTCCCTCATCTTGTTCTGACCAACGAAAACAAGATAAGCAATCATAGGAGTGCTATTGGCACGAGAGGAAGCTAGTATTGTGAAAGGCCAGGTGCCCACGGTGTACATTTCTGTGTGATGTTCTTGAGCCTTTGCTTGGTGAGCCAGGCAATGAGTTGGTCTCCATTTCTTAAGAAAAGACCCGTCTCCCACACTGTGTGTGTATGTGTGTAGTTAGACTACAAGTTAGCCATTGCTTGGAACAGGATGTTTCAGCTGTGTGCAAATGGCCCTCTGAGTTCTCCACTGTTTCTAGGCAGAAAATGGGAGGGGAAGGGATTGGCCCCCCCCCCTTTTTTGCCTTGATTATAAGGCAGCTGTGGGGGCAGCTGTGCTTGGCCAGCTCCTGGGAAATGCTGGTGCTGGCGCTGTGCCTAAATCTGTCACCAATTCCTGAAAGCTTTCTTTCCCCACCAGAGAGGTTTGCATTCTTGTGTCTTGCTTGCAGGGTGTTCTTGTATTTATTTTGTGGTATTTTGGAGATCACCTAATCACTGCAAGGTAGTTGAGTGCTCTCCTCTCCTCTCCTCTCCCCTCCCCTCCTTTCTCTCTCTCAATCCCTCTCTCTCTCTGAGTGTGTGTGTTTTCTTTCTGTTGCACATTTCTCCATCGCTCTGCAGCTTCCTTGGCTTCCTGGTGTGAAAAAGCCCCATGTCTGGCATTACGTCATGGTGCCTTGTCCTGGGCTGAAACTTAAATGTGGGAAGCCAGGGCGGCTGCAGGCTGCCGGAAGGCCGATTCCACAGTGATAGGACACTTGGCCACCTTCTCACTGAACTAAGCACAGGCACCCAAACCCAGCCCATGAGAATGTCTTTCCAAAATTTTCTTCATCACGAATTTCTTTTCTAAAGCAATTCCTTTTCTGTCAAATTAAATGAGAACAGGTACTCAGAGAGAATTTTTTCAACACAGCACTCGTCAGAATCATGAATAAACATTCTTGGAAATCTGAAGTAATCGTGGTTCCTGGAAGAACATTTTTAGACATTTAAACACCATTTGAATACAGCAGGGGAAAGGACCAGCATGAAGACATAACATGAAAAGCAGACCAAAAGACGAATTCTGGGGAGTTGGAGCCAAGATTTGCCTCCTGCATAAGGAGAGGGCCATCCACAAGAGGAAAGACCCTGCTCACAGTAGGGCCTCCTGCTCACATTCGTGGGAGCCTCTTTCAGGCCCACGGCCTAGTTTGCCCATTTCGGCAGGTTCTCCTGGCTCGCCATGTAGCCACTTCAGCCTGCCGGAGGGGCTGCTGCTTCCAGATCTGTAACTGGTTGATCCATCCTATATCGTGATCCAACCAAGCCCAACAAAACCTGTCTTGATGCACATGAGCTTCTGGTGCTTGTGCTTTTTGTCCCTACTGCTATGGCAAGCTCAGTCGTATGTGACTGGCTTCACTGACATGACCCCTGGTTTCTGTGAAATTACTACTTTAGTCCCGAGGGGTGATTAGTTCATCTTTGTTAGGGGTAAAAGGCTCATCTCAAAGCACCCAAACAGCAGGTGAGGATGGTTCCTGGCCAGGAAATAAATGGAGGAGAAAATATATTTCCCAGCCAAATCTGTGTAAATTTCCCAGTTAAACACACACACACACACACACACACACACACACACACACGTACGTTGGTCAGTTAAGAAAAGCCCTTAGAGGTGGCAGGATGGGTTGGAGCAAATGGGGCAGCAACACCACTGGGATTTCTGTCTCCGTCCCAGAGTAGACCCTCTCACTCTGGCCGATTCAGCTGCCTTCTCAGGGGTTTTTTTTGAGCCACAATGGAACCGCAGTAGCTGCACAAGTCACAGCTCAAATATAAACTGCAAAAATCCCAAATTTAATATCTCCCCTTTCTGGAATAGCTGGACATTCTGGGAAGTACTGAAAAAGTGGAAAAAATGAGAACTGTCAGTTTAACATTTGGAAACCAGAGAATACATTGTTAAGGGAGATCTTTTTGCTAACCACTTTTTGGTGCAAATATTTCTCTTGCTGCCCCCACTTCCACTGGTTATTTTTAATGGACAGTTTGGCAACTGGTTACAAATTGGGCAATAAGCAGTTTAATCTCGACAATTTTTATGTAAATTTCCAATGAATTTCATTCCCTTTGTCAGTTGAAACACACAAGGACATTGATGAGACCTGTCCATATATATCTGGCAGCCATAATTGCACACTTGTACACCTCAGAAAAATTGGCCACTTCCTCACGAAGGGAAAGGAAAGGAAAGGAACAACTGTGTTTTTAAAAACGATTCCAATTGCATTTTTGTGGGGCTCTGAAAATAAAAGTTTGGAGAACAAAAAGCTCTGCCACGAAGGACATTGGGAGACCAGATGCAGGGCCAAGGGAGTGGGAACAGGAGAACCACCTGCAGTGAGCTTGACTGTCCATCCAGGAATTGTGGGTTATCCTGCCAGCAACAAAACCATCATGGCTTAGTGACTTTGCATGTTGTACGGAACTACCCAGTGATGTAAAAACAACAAGAGCATCTTGCCCAAAATTTCCCTTGGCCATAATGTGAACTCTAATGATGGCTGCAAATCTTATAGATGGCAGCACTTCTGAACGGGATTGAGCTGAAGACAGCACAGCATGCGTATGGCTGACACAATATGTTTTTATATTTGCGAGGCAGATGGAAAGCTAGTAACTACAGCAAGTTTTGGGGAATGCGCTTGAAGGAAGGCTTCGAGTATCGTCTTGGCACATTTCCCCCATCTGCTGCTCTGCTGGACATGAGGCCACTCACGGTGGGTTTCAATGTTTTATCTTCTCTTTAAACAGCGGACATCAACTTAGCGATTCTCAGTTGTTGTCCTTACGCCACAAAGATAGGTTCTCCCATCATTCTGTGCACAACATTAAAAAATATTCTGGCCTATCAGGTGGGATCCACCAATCTTCCTTATGAAAATAGTTTGTTTCCTTTAGGCAAGCACAAGAACAGAAACAGACTTCCCTGAATTTTTTGTCTCTTGGTATGAATGGCCTGGCTGGATTCATGATCCTCTGGACCAGAGAAACTGTGCGGCTTCGTGGGCATTTTCTACTGCAAGTAAAGTGTGATTTCTATTCTCTTTGTTACATCCTAGAAATGTGGCTCTTACTGCATGAAATCTTTCAGTAAGTTACTGAATTCTTGAAATTGGACTTGAAATGATGCTGTGAATGGGGTTCCTGCACATGCGATCTTTCCCTGATATGAAAAGGACAGTACATCGAATCATAGAATTGTAGAGTTGGAAGGAGCCAGAAGGCCATCGGGTCCAACCCCCTGCTGTTGTTACGTCATCCCATTTGGATGACTGCCCATTCACCATTCATTCCTGCGTGCAGCTGGGCCACTGGTCAAAGCTGGTGGAAAGCACTCCATTCCGCTCAGGCTGCCTGGGCTTCAAGTGACCAAATAGCTCAAGGACCGCCCTCCAGCCATGAATCTGCTCCTTCAAAGGGAGTGCAACTCCATCCAGAACAGGTCAAGCTCCCTCCAGGTGGCCAGAGAAATTGCCTGCCATCAGCATCTCAGTTCAACTATTTGTAGCGTGGAGAGAATAGAGTGGTGCCTGCTGGCCATATCGTAGCTGTAGAAAAGGATGTCAGAAAATGAAGTAGAAAGCCTGATTAAGCCTTAGCATGATTGAATGTGCAGGAATACAGATCAAATCTTTAAGAGCCACACACTTGAAATGTCAGGCCTGTATTGATGAATCTGTCAGTTTCTCATTTGTTCAAATTTTTAAAATCTTGAGTGTTTCCCCCACAAATACAGAGAACTGTATGAATTCTGATCAAAGCCAAAGAGAAACCTATTTTTGACCATCTCTAGAGAGGACAAACAGATGTTAGAGTCATGTGTTTCTTTCCCCTCCCCCCACCCTACTTACTGCACAAAGTATTTGGTGGTCACTTGCCATGTGGCCGGAGGAGGAGAGGAGCCACAGGGTCCAGTTAATGGTGAGCGAAGGAAGTATTGCAGGAGAGCTGCAGGCGCTTGACCAGCAAGAAAAGAACTCCAGAAGGGGTGGTGGATGACTGTTTTGCTGCTTTTCTTAAACAGACATTTTTAAAAGAAAAAATAATTGTATAAGATACTCCTTTTCTTCAGGGCGGAGCAGGGCATTGACTGATCTATTAGTCAATGAGAACATATTTCAAGAAAAGAATAGGCAGTTGTTTGTTACTTCAGATTTATCTTACATTTTATATCAACTATGAGATGGATCAGTTGTATAAAGGAAGGCACAGCCGTGAGTTTGCAAGAGCTAAGCTGGGCTGCCAAGGACGGAACATTTTGGAGGCCTTTCATTCATAGGGTCACCATAAGCCAGAGAGGACTTGATGGCACAAAGCAACAGCAAACGTTTTTATAACCAACCTTTCCAGCTCACATGAACCAGCCAAAGCAACTTACTACGAAAATGTTGCAAACATTCATAAGGCCCATTTGTTTTCTGTGACTTTTTTCCAAATTTGAGAAACATAGGAACAGAGTGAGTCAGAAAGGGCTGCCTGGGCCATCTAGTCTGACCCCCTGCTCTAGCAGGCTCTGCTCACGACATGCCCACCATGTGCCTGTCTAGTGTATCCTTGAGCACCCCCACCGATGGGGCAAATTTTGTTTCATTTTGATTTTTTTAAAGCTACAATTATCTTAGTATTTTCGGAGCAGGATGTTTGTTATTATTGCTGATGCTTATTAATTTCCTTGTTTTTGATGTTTGATTATTGTATTGCACTTTTAATGCTAGCTTGAGAAGACCATGTCATAAGAGGCAGTGCAAAATTATTGTTAACAAAAGGGACGAAGTGAAATGAGGGGATAAAGCAAAGCAAACTCCAGGAAGGTCAGAGTTTTTAGCCAGCGCCTAACACTGCACTTGCATGGGAGGCAAAAGGATACTGGGACAAGGTGTTCTTAAACCTCGGAGCTAACAAAGAAAAGGGCTTCTCCTACATCACCACCAACAGTGGCCAGATGCAGAAAGGGTCTTTCCTGCTCTAAGTGGAAGGCAAGTGGACAAGATCCTTTGTGTATCCAGATCTTAAGCCATAAAGGTATTTTCCAGGGAAGGTTTAGGTAGGGCAGGTCATATAGGTAATCATGCCGGGGATCCTGAGTTCTTCCGTCTCCCCTCGGATAGGTCAACATTCAAATGAATTTGGATTTCAGTGAATCCAACTGCCGTTTCTGCAGCTTTTTCAGAGTCACGCGGATTCCATGAATCTTTTTTCTACTCGAGCAGAAAATTTGTTCAGATTCATAGTTCACTAATGTGCATTGATGCTAGTCTGCACTTGTACGAATGGAATGATCCATATATCCCTAAAAGCATCTGACTTTTTCAGTGAATGGATAACAGACTGAAGGATGTCTGGCAACATGCAAAACAGGTAAAATAGACTTAACCAAATCCATATATCCTTAACAAGTATATCATATACTAATATGGGTGTTCAAAGATAGTCTGGACATGCACATGGTGGGCATGTTGTGAGCGAAGCCGGCTGGAGCTAGGAGTCAGACTAGATGGCCTGGGAGGCCCCCTCTGACTTGCTCTATTTCTATGTTTCTATGAATATTTCTAGTGCCAAGAATTTTACAAAACATCAAACTTCATTATAAGTAGTTTAATGAAACCTCTACTATAGGTTAGTAATCCTGATTATTTTCCACAAAACAGGTGTTGCTGCAGACAGAATAGCAATTCATTCCAAAGGCCTTTTCACAGACAATCTTTCACCACAGCATTTGATCTCTTGCGACACAAAGAACCAGCATGGATGCAAAGGCGGAAGCATAAATGGTGCTTGGTCGTACCTGAAAAAGTACGGGTAAGTCAATACTTTATTTATTATTATTTTTAGAGATAAAACAAATACAGAATAATAGTCTAAGAAAAGCAAAAGAAGAGCCTCCCACACATCTGTATATTTAAAATTTTTACAAAGCATACATTCAATCAGGATAAGGTTTCTCAATAGTCCTCATACTTATATTAACCCTTCAAGAGTCTTTTAAATTGTACAGAGAGGAGACCCAAGTGTTGTTAGAATCATATCTGTGTCAGTAAGTGATAGGTGTGTAATGGGTGCAAAGCAAATCCTTTGGAAAAGAAGTGTACACATGCTACTTCAAAACCAACCTGTGTTGCACTGGGAGGTCAAAACTCCTGGCAAAGCAAATGCAGCTTCTTCTGGAAAAGGTTGAGTGCAGCAGGAGCACTTACTACTGATGCCAAAAGAAATAAGAAAAGTCTGACTTACCTGTATTTTTTCAGGTAAGAGAATAGGCAACATTTCTGGAGCCATGGATGTGCTTGGCAATTTGGGAAATGATCATGGGCATAACTCCAAAAAGACTGCCATGGGAGCTAAGGCAAAAGCCAAGACATTATCTGAGAGGCCGTAGGGGTCTTCTGAGTCCCATTTCTGAGATTCTGCCATCTTGGAGCTGAGACTCTGGCCAAAGCCAGCATGGCAAGTCTGCACTGGCTGCCCGTCCCATTCTCCTGAGCTCACAGCTGGGCTCTGGAGGGGAAAAGGGTGTGTGCTAGGAATGGGAGAGAAGGAAACTGGGACCAGGGAGCTGCAGCAGTTCCTACAAGATGCCTGGCCATCTTCCATTCTCCTCTCCAGGGCTAACGGAGAGAGCCGAAAATGGCTGCATAGAGAAAATGCGGGGTGCAAGGTGCAGCAGCGCCAGAGATCTTGGCTGCTTCACCTCGATCCCACCACTAGATGCTTGTAAGCCTGCATAGGCGATGGGGCCCCACTCCGAAAGACCCCCTGCTGGGCAGCGGTGGCTCCTGAGCCGGCACACACTGAGTGACGCCTGTGAATCCCCCATTGGCATCGGTGACAGGAATAGCGGTTCCAGCTGGCAGGAAGGAAAGGTGTTGATTTCTATTTTTGAAGTGAGAATAGTAGAACATGTTGCTGGGTGCCAAGAAATGAGTCCCAGGTTGCATCGGTCCCTTTGAGCACCGTATCGCCTGCCCCTGCTGGAGAGTAAGATGCAGCTCTTGCCAGAAATCAGCCTGCCGGATCTCAAACATGCATCACCTCCTTTACAAGCTACATGATGTTTATATTTATTCTATAATAATATTAAGAAACGGCTGCTACGTTTCATAGAAACAGAGCGAGTCAGAAGGGGCCTCCCGGGCCATCTAGTCTGACCCCCGGCTCCAGCCGGCTCTGCTCACAACATGCCCACCATCTGCATGTCCAGCCTATCTTTGAACACCCTCACCGATGGGGCCTCAATGACCTCTCGTGGAAGCCCATTCCACACCCTTGGGGTCCTAACTGTCAGGAAGTGCTTCCTGGCATCTAAATCTTTCCCTCCCTCCCTCCCTCCCTCCCTTTCCATATATGCAAAGACTTTTTTTTCCAACCAAGAGGAAAATAAATTTACTTCTAGAGTAAGTAATTTCCTTCATAATACCTACTTTAGAAAGTTTTCAGGATGCTTAAAAGAAGGAAGAGACATTTGCAAATTATCAGCATATTAGATTGATTCTACCTTTCCCCTCTGTCTGTTTTTAATCTTTAAAAAAAGTCTTATGATATGTTGAAAATAATGATGACAAATGCAACCCAGCCATGGATTTAAATAGCAAATAATACTGTGATACTGACAAGACCTCATAACTGCTAGTAATTATGCATGATATGATGATGTGACAGATTATGGGTAAGGAAAATTAGATCAGCATCTCAAAGGAGAAATCTAATGTTATGTCTTCTTGTTCACCATGGTTTCAATAATCTGTTTGTGTTATATCTAAAAACAACACAATGATTTGTTATTACGGCAGCATACTTTACATCTCTGGGTCACCAATTGCCTGAAGGCGCCTAAGAAAATATTTTAGGTGTTCAGAAAAATGTGCGCATCTAACAGGAGTCCTCTGTATCACTGTACTGGCGATCCCACACCTGCTGGAGGTGAGCCCCACTCAGCTAGGTGGGAATCCTGTCTGTGCAGCTGTGAAAGGGACTGCACTTGAAGGCTGCCATCCTGCATCCTGCCTGAGCAGGTGGGACACAGTGCAGCCCCTCCGAAGAAGTCCATAGACTCTCTCCCTGGCCGTTTCCCCTCTGGCCATCAGCCATTCTGGTGTGGAGCAGGTCGCATTCTGGATCTCCTAGCAAGGGGTGAGGTAGCCCTTTTTTGTCGAGGTGTGGATTCTGTTGTGGTTACTTGGGGCTGGGGGGGATGGTGTGTGGCTGAAGGCAGCTGTGAGCAGGGCTGGAGCCAAAAATGGGTGAGTCCCCCTTTTGCTTTTCCTATACCCCTCCCTGTACCCCTCCCTCTCCCTCTTCCCCTCCCGCACTGCCAGGGGTGGGACAAATTGCTCTTGCCAGAAGACCGGAGTGATCACATCCACGGGGCCTCACATCCACTGAGGGTATCAGAATGGCCAGTCCTGGGCAACAAAACCATATGTCAGTAGGGGCGGTGCATTTCCTTTGGGACGATGTGTTGGGGCAAGAACAGATCCAAAGCTTTTCCTCTGTCTCTCTCCAATCCCTTTTTCCTGCAGACTCTCTCCCTGCTTCCCACCCTTCCCAGCAGAATGCCAGAGCCAGGCCAGGCCACTGAAGAGCCTCCGTTTCTGGACTGACCATTTCTGGAGAGCTTCCTTGCCACTTTTCACCACTGTATCTTTCTCACCCAGGTTTCCTCCTCCTCTGGGGGTCTCCCGCACCCTGCAGCAGGTTGAGATGCAGTGCGAATCTGCAGGCAGCCTAGTAAAGGAAGGGAAAGTGCACAGGCATCTTCCAAGAGCCCTTTCCACCCTCTGTTCTGTTCATTCAGGAAAAAAATCCTTCCTTGAAAATATCCACCAGTCCCACAAATCTGTGCTGAAGTTTTGTGAGGTAGTGAAGGTCCTTCTCTCCCCCATTTCAAGCTGATGGATGCTTTCACGAATGGATTCTGCTTGTGACAAATTTCTGTTTACAACACACTCTGGAAGCATGCCCATTTCTAAAAGTTGACCTGTTCTGCTAACGAGTTGGTCGATTTCTTAACATTTGACCTGGGCATCTGGCTATATTGCATGGACCATCTCAAAGCCCAGTTTGCTTTATTTTGATCATGCAAGATGACCTCAAGACTTGATAAAGAGGAAAAATGCATTTAGCATAGGTTTGAGTATGGCTGTTTTATACTCCATGCTGCATACCCGGTTCACATATAACACTAAGCCATAGTGTAGCTTCCTGAAATCTGGCTCACTGTTGTGTCCATTTCAGCAAATATGCCATGGTTTTTTCCAAACAGCTAATAACCCCAAATAGAATTGACACTGTGTGAACCTAGAATCTTGGCTTATCCCTGGTTTCTTTGTGCTGCTGTCTGCCCTAAAATGGAGGTGCTCAGGAAGAGCAACCAGAAAATTAAACCACTCTGAAGCCTGGCACAATGGGGAGGAGAGGGACGAATCAAAAATAAACAAAATAAACTGTGGCTTATTTGCCTGTCTGCCAATGCGACAAACTGCCTTTCTAAATCAAATTAACTAGATTAAGTCCTTGTGAAGACAAAAAAACAAAAACAAAAAACTGCCATATCATTAGATGTTATTCTGTTGCTCTTGGAGAATCTAAAATACTTTTTTAATTTCATGTTGATTATTGTTGATTTCATGTATTATGAAGGGGGAATTCCCAAACCTGAGATGAGCCAATATTTGGCACCTGGCAGCCTTCAAACCACTTTCTTTCCTTTGCTCTTTCTTTTCTTCATTCACCCTTAAATTTTTATACCATCCGTGCAATGCAAAAGGCAGTTTTAAATTTCCACATTTTAACATAAACTAGCACATACATGTGTTGGGCACAGCAATACAGTTATGGGAGATCTCACCACAGTACCCATAGGGCTGAAATTGGTAAAGCACCAAAAAAAGATATATGAATCTACTTGACTTATTCAGCCCACCAAAAAAAAAAAAAAAATGCAAATCATGACTAACATAGGGCAGGACCCACTCCCTTCACACAAAACAAGAGGGAACTATTCAGGAATAGGCCCCCACTGGGTTTTTATGCCCCATTCTCCACCAGCCTCTGGCCCTCTGCAATGGCAGTTCTGACCAGAGTGTTCCTACAAGTAAGTATCGGTTCCACTCCTGGGAATTCCTGTAGGAGCGCTTGGAAGGACTGTGCGTTGCTCTATGGGATGTACACATGAGATTCCCTTTACAGATTATGGCTGATGGGTTCCAGTATGTGGCTTGCATGGCCAAGGTCTGTTGGGAAAAGGCCCTTAAATAAAAAGGATTCTAGACATTTTTGTGACATTCTGTAGTCTTGAGCAGAGAACAGTAAAGGACGGACAAAGAAGATGCTTTAATGAGGACCTGCAGTCTCACATCCACCTGCATCTACCGTAACAAGATTCGCTCAGCAGTCCCTTTGCTGTAAACGCTCAGAGAGGGTAGAGGCCAAAATGTACTCCTTGGGAGAGGAATCTTGTGTCTTCATAATGATTTGCTCAAACCATTGGCCCTCACTGTTCCTGTCTGCAACATTAGCAAGTGCTGGAGGTTCACAGAAAATTGACAAAAACCAGGTATGAATGAATGCTTTCAGCCAGTGCTTTCTTGTCACTCTTGGTTAAGAATGTGAGGCATTCAAGACTCCGCATCACAATAGCACCATTACTGTTACCTTTAAGCAGTGAAGATTTAGGCTCCCCATAGGGTTAGAAGCTTCTTAGCGAGTTGCCAGTACTAAGGGTTCACACAGACCTCTGCGCATCCAGGTCATATCCCTTTGATCTGGTATCGATCTGATCTTTCCTCAGAGAGGTCTCCCATGTCATGCACCAGCCACACATTTACAGATAACAGAATGAGACAAATGAGCCATAAGGAGCTGTTGAGACTGAACGGCTGAAGCCTGTGAAATATTCTTTGCATGCCGCTACCAGTAGCCATAGGGTCGAAGGGCAACACTCAAGAACATCGGCCGGTTCCCCGTGGAGGCTGCAGCCGAGCAGCCTCTGCTTTGGCACTGACCTGACATGTCTACAGATCTTAGGCTGCAATTTTTTTCAGCAAAAACTTGTGTGTCTACTCAGCAAAAACTTGAGTGCTGAATTCAGTTAACTGCTGCAGTGCTGTACAGTTACTGCTTCTTTTACACTTTGCTTTATGCACTGCCCCATAGCTGCTTCTTTCTGGAAAGAAGATACTACACAGATTACCTTTGTACCCAAACAGTCTTTAATATTCAGCGAGGTGCGCATACTTTTAAATGATTTGCCTACTTCACAGAACTAATAAAGGAGCAGAGTAAATGGATTATCTGCAGTCTTTGACAGCCAGAGGACTAATATTACAACACAGGAAACGTAAACACACATCTCATATAATGCAATGGATTGGGGAGCTTATGACACTTTTAATAACTGAATGCCCCCTTCAAATGGATATTTATTTGCATATTTGTTCACTTTTGTTGAAGCCGTTGAATAATTGTTAGAAAGTGCATGCATTTCATAGGTATTACTCACTGTGGATTAGAAAACCAGAAGAAATGAGCATTGTTTTGCCAGTGCCTGCAGGTATAACAATGGGGACCTGCATTACTCTAAGCAGCTGCTCCCAACCTGGATGATTTCCTCAGCCATTCCCAGTCTGATTTCCCAGACTGTGTTCCTAAGCAGCCTGCAGTTCTGGGAATGCTTACCGGGGTGGAAGAAATGGGGACTAGAAGGGGCCGTACAGCACAGGAGGCACCTCGTGAGAGCAGGTCCTAAACAGGTCACTTTGGCCACCCTCTGGGTGTCCGCACTGCGCAGTCCTGACCCACATGGACTCCTTATTCTCTCACTACTAAGTAATATGTTTTGCCAAATATCCTGTATATACTGCCCCTGTGAAGCACTGGAGCATTCCCATTAGCATTTCTAATAGATATAGAAGCATTTCTGGCAGTTCTCTTGGTGTCGCTCACTTGACTGTATTAGCAGAAATATGGAGCCAAATGTTGTAGTAAATGCTCTCGTGGACCAATGATGATGTGATCAATATGATAATGGCATGTTAATCATGAAGCTCTAATACTCTGACCACCTAATGAGAAGGAAGGACTCACTGCAGAAGACCCACTGATGCTGGGAATGATTGTCAGCGAAAGGAGAAGGGGATGGCAGAGGTTGAGGTGGCTGGATGGGGTCACTGGAGAGGTGGGTGTGGGCTTGGGTGGACTCCGGGGGATGGTGGAGGACAGGAAAACCCGCAGGAGTGTCGTACATGGGGTCGCGAAGAGTCGGGCACGACTTTGCAACTGAAGAACAACAGGTGAATCATGGAATGTGGCTTTCTGTGAGGATGCACCTTTGATCAGAGTTCTCCTCTGCACGTGGTTTTGCAGGAAGGTTAGGTAAGATGAATCTCTTAGACCACAATCCAGGATTCAGGTAGCAAGAAGGTCTTCATGCTAACATCAGTGCGCTTGTTTCAGAGTAAGGGCCAAAGGCAATGTGACCTCAACAGTGCAATTCAATATATGACTACACAGAATTAAGGCATCCCGCGTATAATGAGGCTTTCTCCCAGGTCAGGGTGGGTAGGCTTCCACCCTAAAGTTGTTATTTTGCATTTCTCACGCGTTTTTCAAAAAAGGCAAATGAAATATTTATTTCATTTTTATACTGCTCAATAATCAAGGCTCTCTGAGATGTTAACAAAAGTTACAATTAAACAAACATTGCAACGCACACGCATTAATTTTAAAGAGCAAAGCCATAAAAGCAATTGCACTTGCTATGATTCAGCCCAGAAGCACAGCAACAGTACAGAATAAAATGGAATATATAAATAGAACACCTCTTTCAGGAGCTCATATCTGTGCAGGTGGAGCTCAGCAGGATCAGGAATGTGACGGGCAGGGAAGGGGGTTTAACCCTTCATCACCCTCAGCGGAGGCTGGTGTCTCCAATGCGGTGAGGCAGTACATCCACTCCAGGTTGCAGCTGGGTCTTGAAAAGAGCTGTTCATGGTGTTGGACCCGTACTGGGATGGGGTTTAGCACCAGGGATGCCTCCTTTAAAGTTCATGGTAAAACTTAGAGTGGATGCACCAAGTCTGGAGCCACCAGCTTCTCTACAATCCTGATGAAAGCGGCTTCCCTCAATGCTGCTATTTGTATGAGGAGGAAAGCTGGTGTCCATTTTGGTCAGTCCTGAGGAAGCTGTGCCTTGCAAAGTGGAATTGTAACTGAGGATTGGCAAGCTCATTACAAGAAACATTTCTTACAGAAATGAATTACTTTCAGTGAAACAGTTTAAGGTCAAGAAACCATGTCCATTGGCAAGCATCTTTTAAATCAGGATTTAAAAAAAACCAAACTTTCATTCAAATAGGCTGGTGTCTCATACTTGCTATCCATTCTTCTGGAATCAGTCTCACCAAGCCCCTTGTGCCATCTCAAGTGTATTTGATGCTGATGGGAAGCGGCGTGCCACGCGGCCATGTCCAAATGACTTCGAGCCGACCAGCCGCATTTACCAGTGTCATTCTCCTTACAGAATCTCTTCACAGGTAAGTGCTTCCAGCGACTTATTTTCCCTCTTGTTTTAGAGTGACTACATAAACAATGCTCCTTCTCCCAAAAAAGAAAATGCATTGTTCAAAAAGTAGACAAGGATTTGCACCAAATGCCTCAATTGTATGTATGGTTGCAACCTTAGAAATAGTTCTTATACATTAACTTAAAACAAAACTACTGTATTAGAGAAGGCTGCAACTAAGTGACTTGAGCACTCGCTATCCAGGTGCAAACCGTTGATAGGGCACTATAAGACCTTTGCTCTCTCTTTTTATAATACATTATCTTTAAGCTAATAGAGGATGCCTTAACTGAGAGGACTGCAAAACACATGGCTTATCTGACATTGTTACTCTATGAGGAAATTAACAACTTTTTTACTTTTAAAAGGTTTACCGTATGTTTACTTGCGTTGTCCATTCTTTAAGATGTATGGGTTAATCTTTTGCTTTGGATGCTAAATCTGGGACTTTCCTATGGGGAGAGCACCGTTACCGAAGAAAGAATCTTGGCTAACTTACCACTTGGTTCTACCCATATTCCACACATTCTTGCAAAGCGCTAGACATGCATTAGTAGTCTAGCCCTAATTAGTCTCTTGGGCTTGTGGATGCTCGAGACACTGGCTTGGGAAGGACCTCTCTTCCTGGCTCCAACGTGGACACTCACCTTAGAGCCAGGTGAAGGCAGTGTAAGTCATCAGTGATGGCCATGGGCACTCCAGAGGACCTGTGGCAGAGCATCTGTCGCTGTCAGGGAAGAGACTGGGGCTGCTGTCCCATCACCGTGGTTGGGAAAATAAAGCTACTGGTGCGATTCCACTGGGGAGGAGGCCCTGGGCATGCTTCACTGGTTGCTTTGACTGCCTGCAGGGGAACGGGGAAGAGGCATGGGCAGAGCTGACCCAAGTCGTTACGCTACCTGAGATGAAGGACCAAATGCCCCTCTCCCCCACCATTCGCCTAACTGGCCGTGAGTTCAGTGTCGCAAAGGAACAACATCTTCTGCTACACCTGAGGGCAGCGTGACAGATCAGTGGGTCTGGGGAAGTCACGTCCAAAACACATCTCTGTAATCTAGCACCTTACTGACAGTTTCTGCCTTCCAACATCTGCTGCCTCCGGCATCCTGCCTCCTGCCCAGAGCTAGGGCCAGCCCTGGGCAATAGCAACAGGGCAGTTTGAACAGGGGTAACCGTGTGGGTGGTGTGTGGGTGGATGTGTTGGAGAGAGGGGTAGGATTACCTTCCATGCTTGCCATAAGCCAGCCTGCCTCAGCTGCAGCTCCCCTTCGACTTCAGGCAGTCTGGAGATGACAAGGTTGGCTGGCGCTGCCTGTGGGTGCTACTGCACTTCCAATGGGCACACCATGAACAGATAATGAGGGAATAAGAGGGATTACTTTAGTGGAGCCATCTAATCATCATCAGGACATCATATTTGAAAACCTTATGACGCAGTATAAAGGCATGGTAGAAATATAGCACAGGATTCCTGAATTGCCAGAAATTGTATTTTCTGCTCCCCACCCTCCAAAAAGTTCATTTAGATCAGTGAATTTCCTTTTCAAAAATCAAGGCCATTTTAAGAATAAAACTGTAAGCTTGAAATAAAATCCTTGGAATGCCCATGTGTGTGCCTTCGCTCCTACTTAAGGTTCTGACTAATCCTTGAATAACCCCAAAAGCAAAGATTTCCAAATTTGGGTATTTAGTAAATTCAAGGACACATTATTCTGCTTTGTCTGTGCAGCCAGAAAGCCAGAGCATTTATCATAACTGAAGATAAATGGAACAAAAAACATATTCCTGAAAGGTTAAATGTACAAAACTTTTAAAAAAATGGGTAAAACATTTCTCTTTTCCCCATCTTTAGGAGACTGAAATAATGAAAGAAATTAAAGAGAACGGGCCAGTGCAAGGTAAAGGAAAGGAGAAAGCAACACTGAAGCTGATGCTGAGATGTTTTTCTTGTGCCCAGTCTCTCCATAGAAGAGAGCAATCTGTATATGGATGTCAGCTGCATTTTACTTGGCTCCTCTGGCCAAACTTAAGATCCCTGGTGGTGTTGACCACCTCTAGTCTGTCCTTGTTTTCCCTGGAACCAAGGAATGAAAACAACAATGAGCTTATGCAAATCCTGCTGTAATGTGTGCATGTGTAACTCCCACCTGCATGACGTTTAGCCCATTCCAGCACTGCAGGAACCAGTCTTTCCTCTCAGCAGTCTTTGCTCAGAAACTCCTTTGATTTACAGTGCAGTCCTAATCTAATTGCATCAGAAGTGAGCCATGCAGTTCTCTTTGTTCTCTATGCTGACGACGGGGACAGCTTTTGGGGTTTTTGCTTTTTGCTCAATATTCATTTCCATGTTATGTGCACTGGTTTGAAGTGACAATATAATGTTGAAGCAACTTATTTTGCTTTTCCTTTTAGTCAGCAACACTGCTTTTTAATAGATATTTCTCTGTTATTAAAGTGCTGTATCATGTTTCATGCTATGGCTGATTGGAAAAAAAATGGCAGCAGTAATACCAGTTTCTAAGTGGTAGGGACAGGCCTGCAGAGGGAGGGACAGTCTGGGCTTTAGAAGTGGGCCTTTCTTCCTACAACGCAGCAGGTTCCTCTGTGTCCCTCCTGCAAGAAAAAAGGGTATCTGACTGGGTAAAAGGAGTATTCAACAGTTATCCCATCTGCCAGCTCTACTCAAGGCTCACCTGATTTATGAACAGCTGCAGTCTCACCTTGATAATTCCCTGAGGAGAGGGGCCCAGCAGAGAATAGTAATTTGCTCCTCCATGTGCTGAGGGAACTGGGACCATGGAGTCCTGCCTGATGGGTCTGTAGGCCCTTCCTCATTCCCAGAGGGGATCATGGAGACCTAAAGGAAAAGCCAGAGTGTAGCAAGGGGCTGAGGCCTGAAAGAAAAGCCGTGGTCTGAGCAGCTAGAAGAAATACGGGATGAATTTGTCAGTGGCTTGACCCGAGTCACACAGAAATGTTTTACTGATGACTTCACACAATTCAATCTTCAAATGCATTTTTCCTTTCTTTTTCCTTGTGGGGTGGAGATGACCAATTTCATTTGGGTCTATGGAGGAGCTTCCCTTGCCTGCACCATTCATAGTTGTGCAGAAGAGGGAATATCATCAGGCATAGCTGAGGTAGCAAATTACTCCCGCTGAACTTTCAGCTTGGGCACAGCTATTTATTATTTATTTGGAATCTATCAAAGAGACATGATGGCCACAGTTTTCTGTATCTGACTGTCTTAATGCCATGGGGAAACCCATAGGAAATTTAAATTTTGCAGCTGAGTAAAGTGAAAGTTTCTGGCATGATATTAGAAGTTAAAAAAACAACAACACTGTACTACTGGAAAAAAACACTGTGGACTTGTTCTTCTAATTTCAATCAGAGGGTTTCCCCTCCTCCTGATGGGCTTGTAGGTATCAACAGAGATTCCCACCATGTTGATTTTTGTTTGTTTTTCCTAGACATTTTTCAGAACAGAGGTCCTGATGTCTTTTAATTAAAGCCTCAGGAAAATAGTTAGGGAAGATTGGTAACTCCCATATTAGTGGGACTCATAATACATTATAGCTTTCATTTTGAGCTTTGTAGGAGCTATCTATGGTGCTCCGGGTTGGGGAACCTATTTTGGGATGTTCAGCACCATGGAGAGTTCCTATGCAGCTCAAAAGAAAGCTTGTACTGGCAATAGTGTAAACTGATCTATGAAAGAAGCAAAAAAAAAATAACGTGAATAGAAGATAGCTAGAAGTAGTGAGTTCACAAAAAATGTATGGAATATCAGGAATAGGAAGACCAAAAGAAAGCTTATGCCGTATACTCTTTATAGGGTTTTTTCTTCTACTTTTTACTGTTTGCTTGCATTAATAATTCAGATAAAGAAAGATGCTAGTTAATCTGTTAAATTTAGAAGAATGAAGAAAATGAACTTGCATTCTGTTTTTTACAATGTAGCTGTCATGCAAGTATACGATGATTTCTTTCTTTACAAGAGTGGGATTTATAAGCACAGAAGGAGCACAGCTGCACTTCCACGGCAGGATGATCTAAGCAGAACCCACTCAGTCAAAATTATTGGGTAAGTGAAACCAGGTGTGTTTCGACATGCCTTCTCCATACGAAGTGGACAGTGGGTTCAGGAATATTATTATATCAGTGATATTCTGGTGTCAGTCTTCACTGTGTTCACCTGCTTTCTTCCAGGATGTGAGTTGAGCTGCTTCAAGCCTGGCCTTAATTTCGTTTATGCCTCAACTTCCTTGGGCCTCCAGCCACGGTGGTGGGGCATGGGGTTAGAGTCACCAACAGGCGTTCCCCCACTGGCCCTAATTCCTAAGGCCCAGCATCAACAAATATTAAAGTGAAGTGATTCCACAGTGCCTTCCAGCAGAAGTAAATTATCTTTTTTAAATCTGAGCTGTTATCCCAAACAGGTGCAATACTTACAGCTCAGTCTAGTGAGATTTTGATAAGAGACCACAGAAATATTCTCAGAAAACATTAGGTTTTCTCTTCATGACAGGGGACTCAAATATGGCCATCCTTAAGACATGAAACACTTGTACTTTTCTAATGTTATTGTTCATATTTTTCTAATAAAGGAGGTTGGGGAGCTATATACTGAAGCTTCAGGAAATTACTTTCTGCTCACACTAAAGTAATTTTTTCCTGAAGACTGCTTGCTTTGTGTGAGAGAGAGAACAAGAGAGAGCAGGGGAAGGGGAAGAGGAAGGAGAAGCAGACCTGCTTTAAGAATAATAATTGATTTGGTGTCATGGATTAAATGGAATCTGTCTTTATGCTGACTTAAACATCTTCATTTTGCTTTTCACTTAATGCAGCAATTTTCCAACTTCATGCCTTCAAAATGTATGCAAAGGCATTGAACTATAATGTCAATCGCCCCTGGCCAATATTGTTTAAATGTGACGTTGTACAAGCACCCATCACGTTGCTCTGCTGCCCCTCTGGAGGAGATGCAGGAGGCATGTGGGAGGCTGAAGGCAGGAGAGGTGGTGGGGCGGGGGGACCATACTTGCCCGTGATTTCTGCTCAGATTAGTTAAAACCCATTGATGAGAATTGCAGTCCAGAACACTGGAGACCATTAGGTTACAAGGGCAGATCAAAGGGTTTAACTACACATTCAGCACAAAGACCTGCAATTAATTCTTGATAGGCAGTATTTCAAAGCGAGCCATGGGAAATGCTAGCCACACTGTCTCTCCCCGGATTGGCTTTCCCCCCCATGCTGCTGTTGTGGAAGTTCTGAGTTATCTTTATTGCAATTTTGTTGAATAGAGTAAATTTCTTGACTGTCACCTGCATAATGTTCTAATGTTCTCACTCTTTCACTAGACATCAGGTGAGTTATGCTGCTGACGTGCAACTGCAGGGCAGGATCTTTCACCCAGCCCTGCAAAAGATGTTTAAATAACAATACCGCTTTATATTAATCTCCACCTGATAAAGCTTTAATGATAGGAAGAATGAATGTTCTCAACAGCAGTATGCGTTCCTGCAGAGCTATTCTAGGACATCTTGCACATTTAAATTATTAATATTAAAAAAAAACCTTCAGAGGGCAACAAAGCATTTTTCCCTGTTCATTGCTTCATCTTTTACTCTCTCTCTGTGGTTTTTTCCCCTTTTTTTCTTTTGTGAAGTTTAATATGTTGAGCTGTTTTGTGTTGATAGAAGGACGAAACTGTGAAGCAATTAAGTACAAAAGGAAAAACGTCCACCTGCTATGACAGCTTTCTCGAAGTGCGCCCTGATGTGCTGCACTACAAATATCAGCAAGTTCTGACTAATGGGAGGGCACCAAGTTGGTGAAGGCTGCATTAGAGACAGAGGAAGCAGATGATATTCATCTGATGTACTCAGAATTTGATAGCGTACTGTTACCATTATTCACGTGAAGCTAGATTCTGAATACTTATCTGGGAAGTTGGTAGCTAAATTGGTACAATCTGATTGGTAGTTTCTGAACACCAGGGGCGATGATTGATTCTGGGTTTGAAATAAGGTGGTGAGGCGGAATGTTGGCCACAATGAAGATGAATGGCTGCAGGTTTCTGGCTGGAACTGGGGAAGAACCTTCATGGAGAGGTCATGGGCGGTTGTCACAAGAGGAAGGACCAGGACACCACCCAAGAGCATGCAGGGCAGAAGCTGAGGAAGCTCTCTTGAAGTGAGCTGAGGTCTGACTGTCCGCTGGTGGTAGTCCTAAGGAAGACACAGCTGTTGCTGGACCAAACTGAGGATGCCAGGGAAAGCCTGGCGAACAGCCTTTAAGGTCCCAGTGGGTAGCCAAATCCTATCAGAGTGAAGATAGTATATCTACCCCCATTGCCAGGCCTGTGAGAGCCAAGCTAAACATTGTGCTAATCTTGTAGCATGCAGCTGGGGCCTTGTCTTTTTCCTCTAGCATAAGCATGAATGGCCCTGATTCAGAGGAGGAGCTCCCCACACCCCCACTTCAGGGAGGAAACTCAGTCACTTCCTCACAGCTCATTTTAAAAAGAAAGAAAAGAAATAAATTCTCTAAAAGCAAGTTGTTGCCAACACATTTTACTGTTTCTTTAAAAGGGTTTTAGGCTGTTCCTGCCAGAATCTGGCTATGGAAGCATGAGTTCCCATTCTTAACCAATAAATCTCCATTCATACTCTGATGTGCAGTAGAGCACTCAGTTATCCACGTGATCAAAACTGAAGTGAAGAGCAATAAGGCTGTCCCTCCTCCATTGATATTATGCCTTTGACCCTGGACCAGAATAGTGTGACAGGAATGTAATACTGAAGAGTTTGATCAGCTCAGGCAAGTGAAAGATGATTATTTCCTATAGGCCTCTGTTCCAAGGGAAAACAATGATTACGACAGAGAACTTACCACATGAAAGATGTATTTGCATCATCAGGCAACTGAGCTAAGAAATTCACTCCTCTCCACACCTCGCCCATGACCTTCACGCTCTCTTTGCTGACACCCCAATGAGTTTCGCAGGAAGGAGGGGTCTGTGACTTAGCCCTGCTTCTCTTTTATGGCTCTGGACTTCCTCTGGCCCGGAGAGACATTCTCAAGGTCTTTCCTCCTCAGGTCTTCCCTGCATTGCTTCTCATGCACAGGTCTCCAAGCCATACCCATTTCCGGATCCACTCTGCCCACATGCAGTACCACAGGCACATCCAGATTTGCAAGTAGGCGGTCTCCCGTATGGCCCTTCAGTGTGGAAGCACATTTTTGGTTGGAGAAATTTCCCTTCTCTGGGGCCAGACGTGTGCAAATGTGGCTCTTCATTTTCCCCTGAGCTAGGACTCGGCTTTTCCATGGTGAACTCCTTGAGCTGGCTAGGAGCTTCTCCACAGTCTCCCCTGGCACAGATACCACATGTTTTCCACATGCTCTGCTATTTTATTTTCCTGCTGCAGTTAGCTCTCCCTTTCATTGCTTTTGCTACTTCTATGCATGTTATTGTATCCTCTCCCTTCACCCTTGCCCTTCTTGTCTATTATTGCAGCTCAAATCTGAATATATGCAGGCAAAATGTGCACACATAAAGTTGGCATACTTCTCAGCATAGCCATCCTTTGCTTGTGGGAATAAACAGTGTCTGTTGCCTGTATCAAAAGCTTAAGTAAACCCAGTTAAAATGTCTAAGGAGTGTCCTTTTCAAAATGCTGGCCTTGCTTCTTGCACCTATTCTAAGACAAATATATTGAAGAAAGAATTTACTTGCTTTCTGAAAGGCTGTTACATTTAATCAAGGCTATCCTGCTAGACCTTTATTGACCATGATCAATGATGAGTTGCTAGGAATTTTGTGGGCTTGTAAAGGAATAACATAACTGTCAGGTTAGTGAAGTTTTAGTACAAGTATATAGACTTAAAACATTTAGCCCCACAACTTGGTTTGAAAACTGATAATCAAATTAAAACTTTTTATACATATGTTTGCATTTATGTACCAAATATGAAACCCATTGTATTTATTTATTTTTCTTTAGCTTTGTGACACATAAGATAAACAACTGATCTCTTAAGGAGAGCGAGGTCCACTGTGGTTCCAGATGTCCTTCATGGACAGATACTGATTGTATGTGGCTGACACTTGGAATGAATGAATGAATGAATGAATGAATGAATGAATGAATGAAAGAAAGAAAGAAAGAAAGAAAGAAAGAAAGAAAGAAAGAAAGAAAGAAAGAAAGATCCTGAGCAGATTTTGTGAAGGACTTAAGTCACTGTCCTGTTTCCCTTCTGTCATAAAATTATAGAGTTAGAAAGGATCTTGGAGTCCATCTAGTCCAGCCCTTCTGCAACATAAATTTTGCACTGCTGGTGCAGCTACGGCATTTTCCAGTCCATCTTCTTCAGGGAAGAGACACAGGACAATGCATATCACACTTGTCTCTTGTTTGGAGATGGAAATTGGTATTGATCCAGTAATCAAGCACTGCCGCTGGGTAGCATTCCTTCTGACTTTGCACATGCTTGTGCAAAGCTTGTATTGGCACAGTGTCCAGTGAATTGCACCCACCTTTTCTGTATTGCCTTCTATTAAAAAATCTGTTCCAGATGTTCACTGCTATAAAATGCAGTAAATCTCACACTGATTTCACTACATACAGACCATACTCATAGGATTAAGTTGCCATCCTTCAGTTTTCTGTCTGATTCTCTGTTATAGTTTATAAGATATATAAAACCTCTAATCAGGCGTATCTGCTTTCCATTATTTTTTATGAAAGCTTATATTACCCTTTGGACTTGAGGTTTTTCCAATGAATAAATGAAAAGTTGAATATTGTAGAAGTAATTCTTTGCTATCTTCCGTGATTTGATGTAGAAGTAGAGTTTTAGACCTCATTAAATTAATAGTTAGTGTTTTAGGCACCTATTTAAAACTCCATTGGAAATGCACTTGGGCATTCCAGTTGCATATTTTTATGAGGACACTGCTACTTATTCTCTAATGGGCATCCGTTTCGCAGCGTGACCCTTCTCTAGCTGCTGAATGCTGGTGCTGCAGCAGCTAAAAAGGTATCCCGGTGGACTTAGACCAACACTGAGCAGTGAATTCAACCCCCATCCGAGCTGAACTGCACACAGTATCCATGGCCTGACAAGTTGTTTGGGCACCTGTGACAGCCAGACCCACAAGCACGTCTCCCTGGTAGCAAAAACGCATCAAATCAAGAACAGTTTGCTGCCCTTCTAGGACAACCAACATCGGCTGCCTGAGGTGGCTGTCCAAGGGTAGGGATATCCCTCCACCCTCCTGTGCAAGGCAAGGTTGGATGAGCCATGCCTTACATCCCTGTCTGGGTTTAGGAATTCCCACCATCTCTCTTGCAAGAATAGCTTTCTTATGCAAAACTGTTCGAGCTCTAGCTAACTGTAGCATAAGAGCCTGACACGATAGAGCTATGCTGGATTAGACCAAGGGTCCATCTAGTCCAGTCTATTGACACAGCCGCCCACAGGAAACCCACAAGCAGGACTATGAGTGCAACAGCTCCCTCCTGCCCAGGTTCCCCAGCAGCTGGTGCACACAGGCATGCCAGCTCTGATAAAAGGGCCAGCCTGTTAGCCAGCAGGGACAGGCACTTTTGAGAGCCTTCTGATGCACCCTGGGATAAAACCGATGGAGGCCTTCCCTCCCCATCAACTGCCATTCCTTCTGAGGTTCTGCAGGAGCTTGTTTTCCACTGGCTGTCATTAACTTAGAGGAGGACACTCAGAAGGCTGAGTGGTGGTCTTTCAGCAACTGGGCAAGGTGCTTTCCTGTGCATCCTGTACTGAATCTTATGCTTTTTTTGTTTGTTTCTGCACAAGGTAGGAAGATGGGAAGCCATCATGCATCAAGCCAAGCCTTTGGTACCTGTCTCTCAAACAATGGCTAGCAACATCTTCTCAGGGTTTCAGATCAAGGTCTTTCCTAGAACTTCTGGAGATGCTGGGATGTTCTACATGCAAAGCACCTGCTCACCCACTGAACTAAGACCCTTGTTGATCCATTGCAAGGACGACTAGCTATTAAGACTACTAATCTATCTGAACCAAGATTCATGCCTGGAAACATTATCATGCATTGATTTTTATCTTTTCATTAATGGAGGTCATTAACATTTCTTAACATTATTCATATTCAGAGGATGAAATATGGTGCATTGGGATTTATTTCCTCTAGTCGTACTTCCATGCCTTATTGCTAGAAAACTCCAGCAGACAGGGTTATGAACTTACAGATATCACAATGTGAGACGAAGCTTTGGGAGCCGTAGCTAAGCCCACAGGGAGCAGAGGTCTTTGTAGCCCATCTGTTGCAGACATTCCTAGCATAATTATATTTGCTTTGGAGTGAAAATGCTAGAGTTGTACACATCCTGTTGGCCATAGCTCAAGGTCTGCTTCTCCTGAGCAAACATCACTGAAAAGTGCCATTTTGGCATGAATAAATAAATGGTTCTAACATTATTGCTCCATGTCATGATTAGAATATCTAATGTTTTTATATTTAAATGTGGAACCAACAAGAAGTGAGATAAAAGAAAAGTGGGTTTTCTTGATGGATGCCTGGAAACATGTGTGTGTGTGTGTGTGTGTGAGAGAGAGAGAGAGAGAGAGGGAGAGGGAGAGGGAAGGAGAGAGAGAGAGAGAGAGACTGAGCGGTGTCAACAACCCAGTCCCCAGTGACACAGTAAAGAGTGGTTTGTCTAAAGAGAATAAGAAATAGAACCTGCTGGTCTAAACCTGAAATCCACACAGGCTCCTATGAGCTGGTACATAGTGTTCATAGAGTTAGCATCCTTTTAATTGTGTTGGTATCAATAGGTGTTTGCAGATTTCTGAGGTGCCACTTCTTAAACTTTAGGGAAGATTTTCCACAGCCATGTCAAAACTTAGCAATAGAGAGCCAGTGTGGTGTAGTGGTTAAGAGCATGGGACTGGGACTCAGAGGATCTGGGTTCGAGTCCCCGCTCGGCCATGGAGCCAACTGGGTGACTTTGGGCCAGTCACAGTCTCTCAGCCCAACCTACCTCACAGGGTTGTTGTTGTGGGGATAAGATGGAGGAGGAGAGATAATGTAAGCTGCCTTGAGCCCTTTGTAGGAAAAAGGCAGGATATAAATAAAAAAAAAAAACTGAAATTCCATGTTGTTTCACATCCATCTTACAATTCTGCTGCTCTTCCTCTTCTTCCTCCTTCCTGTTCCACCTAATAGCCAAAGCTCTCTGAGCGTATGACGCAGTGAATACGAAGGAGAATCTTCCCTATCCCATCTTAGTCAGTGGCAAATTCATGCAGTGGAGGGTACTAAACAGTGCGGGTCCCACAGGAATGTGATCATTAAGTCATTCATAAATGATCTGGGATTACACTGATCAGCAGTTGTTGAATTACTTCGGGTGGTTAAAACCTGTAAACCAGATTAACTTGCTTTCAGCGGTTGCATTTTATGCGATTGCCTCTGCAGAGGGAGATTTCATCTTTGAAATATGTTGGGTTCAAATCGAGGAGCTTCCCTTTGGCACCTCTGAGCATATTTCTCTTTTTGCATTTCTGTCCTCATAGGCAACCGCAACCAACCTGCTCTCATTCCTTGAATCCCCTGTTTGCTTGGTTAGTTTTTTATGAAATGCCGCAGAGTTGACTCTTGCCAGTCTAATCAGAGACATAACTTCTGGAATCATGTGCAGTACCAATTCTGCCTGTTAAGTACTGAGCCAAGGAATAGCTGGCTTTGGAACTGAGCTAAATATAGAAGCAGGAAAAGAGCACATGCTAAAATTTCACATTCAGTTTGGTTTGATGGAGCTAGCTAGCTGGCAGTCTTCTGAGAGAAAGCTTATTAAAGAAAATATTAGACTGTTTTGGTGATGAGGCAGGAAGGATCTACTCCAATATTCTGCACAGCAGTCAATGCTGCTTCTGAAAATATGCTTCTCAGCATGGCAGCAGAATTGTTAAAATGCCTTAAAATGTACATTTCTTGGTTTGTTGTGATCTGTATCTATTACTTCTTGTGCTTTATACTGTTTGTTATGATTTATATTGCTTGCCTGCCATAAAGTCAATAGAGAAAAACTCTTCCCTTCATATTTCTTTCATTTCCCCCTCCTTACTAGAAGATTCAAGGGAAAATGGCAATGAAGCATATCTTACTAATGTTCTCTCCTTGGGCAGGTGGGGTGCACTCCAAGATGCAGATGGACAAAGGCAAAAATTTTGGGTGAGTGATCTTTTTAAATAGAGGAAGGATAGAGGTCCCAATCCAGAAAGAGTACGTTGTGAAATCAATGGGGCAAGGCAGACTCTATCACACTGTACATCTCCCTGCTGCCCCCTCACACGGGCAGGTGGGGTAATGCACAACGTAATAGACGCAAAAATCAGTGTTGCATTTATATCCTGCCCTCTTCCTCTTTCAAGGAGGCAAAGGCAGCTCACACAGTTCTCGTCCACTCCATTTTATCCTCACAGCAAGTATCCTGTGAGGTGGGTTGGGCTGAACATGAAAGAGAGACACAGAAAAGTAGCAGCTCCATGCCTTCCATAGCTTCTGGTCCGGTCTCAGAACATCTTGAGGACACTGTGGGGAAGGATTTTTACTGAGATCACGTCTCAGGAGGGAAGGGTTAATCCTATCGCCATGGGCTCACCAGGTATTTAATTAGAAAAACGAGGATGTGGTTGCTAATAGTCATTATCATCCCACTCATCAAAAGAAGCAACCTGGTGCCTCCAGATGTTTGGGATTAGAACGCTCCTCTGTCCCAGACAGCATGATCAGGGATTCTTGCCAAAGCATCTGGAGGGCACCAGGTTGCTGGCATGCATTCAAGCAACTCAGCTATCTCTTTATAAGCAAGAGGGCAAGTAGGAGTCCTCCTGGAAAGAATGATGCCATCACTGTCACGCCTCTTCCCTGGACTGAGATGGATCATATCTTTCGGCTCTTTTTATAGCATTTTATTTGGCAACAATTTGGGAATTCACAGTGACGTGGTGTTATGTCTCTCCAACCTTTAGATTGCTGCAAACTCCTGGGGAAATTCGTGGGGAGAAAACGGCTATTTCAGGATTTTACGTGGGCAAAATGAATGCGATATTGAACAACTGGTAGTAGCTGCCAACTGTCACCTTTAGAAGACTTTTTTTTGCCAGTCTTTTATTCTAAATTAAATGTACCTTCCACAGCACCAGTGTGCATACTTGTATTATTATTTTGGGTAGCAGTTCTACCATCACTAAATGTATTGTATTAAAGCATGAACATAAATCCACTATGATCAAACTCCTTGTTTATTTGCTTTTTGCTTCTGGTGCAGAGCTACTGACATTTTACACGTGTTTTTATTCGCAACTGCTTTCCCCAGAAAGAGTTAATTCTCAATGCTCTTTCAGTCAGTGAAGGCTGATGTTTTGCTTAGTTGCTTACATGCTCATCTGTCTATGCCTGAGCCATGCCTAGAAGCCAGGTGTCCAATTCAGGCTGCAATCCTAAAGGCACAATGACGTTTGAACTCAGTGGGGGCTTAGTGCTGAATAGACAGGTAAATCCCACTAATTTTGATGGACTGAGAATGTCAGGAATGACTCTCTCTTCCTGCCCACCCGTGCCGGGTGACTAATGGCTCCAGTCCAGCTCTCGCTAGCACCTGGTGGCCTGGGCCCCTGAATGCAGAGACATTAAAAACACACTTCACATGTTCTGTAGGCTCTAAAGAAGCAAAACAGTGCAAAAGTAGACTTGTATTCACTTATGTATCTGCATCCTCTACTTCTTTGCATGGGTCTTCCTTTAACAGAGGATTAGACAAATTCATGGAGAGTACATCTACCCATGGATACTAACTGCGATGTCTCTATGTTACGTCCAGACACATGCCTCTGAATATCAGTTGCTGGGATGCAACCATAGGAATGGGGTTATGCCCTCGTGTTTGGCTTTTGGGATTGCTATATGCATTAGGCTGGCCAGTGTGGGAAACAGGACACAGTACTGGGCAGCCTTTGGCCTGATCCAGCTCAGCTTTTCTATTGGATTGAGCTGGTCAAATGATCTAACTCTTTTTTCTTGGTGTCCCACATCAGCTCTGACTCTGCTAAAGAAGAGTGACCCGTTGCCCCCTGGGTGTTTTGGACCACAACTGCCACGATCTCTGGCCACTTGCCATGCTGGGAATTGTAATCCAAAACATTTGAAGTTCACCAAGTTGCCAACCTATGAGCTGGAAAATATTCCATTGTTGGTTCGTTTTTTAAAATCTGTTCACCTAAATGGGAAGAAACCAGCTATACCCTGTGTTGCTTCTTTAAACATAATTCAAATTCCACCCTGTTAGGTGGAAAGAATCCATTCTTTTCTAGATGACATCTTCTTTGTCACACCTCTGAGATCAAAAATTATTTTAAGAGCCACTAAATCCTAAGTAGATAACTAAAGGATTTTTGAAGTTCTCTTGGTTTTGTGATTCTCCATTAGGTGTGCTTGGCGTTATGTCTTGATATGGAAAGGACATAAATACATTGAGTCAATCAAACACATGGATTCCACTCAAGTTACTCTGTAGAAATTCTTAGAATTGTTTCAGCTTCATTAGCTAATCTTTCTTAAATGGAATTCCTGGCAGCATGAATTGAAGCCTGGAAGTTGTCAGTTTGAGGTAGCCTTAGGAAAAATTACATGTGTCAGTTTGATTTTCCTCCCGCTTTGAGCTTTTAAACAGCTTAAAAGCAAAAAGGCTCATTTTCTTCACAAGTTTTCAAATCCAGATTGCACTATGAAACATTCTGTGATATTAAACTGCTATTTACAAAATCCCCTTCATTTTTTAAAACTGATATATTTGAAGGCTGAATATCAAAAAGCACCAGAACAACAGAAATGTCTCTTTGTAAAAAATTAACAAATAAAAATAATAAAAAACAGAAGACCAGGTTCAAAAGTAATAAACAGTAAGAGATATCTCAGTGTTTTGAGAAAATGGGAAAGGTTATCAGTAGGGATTACCTGTTAGATAGATTAGTGGGCTGATACAGATTTCTGCAAGCTTGAGTGGAAGTCAAAGAAGCTGGACGAAGTTGTGTTTGACAACTGTGGAACCTGTGGAAAAAAGGAATCTTCCCAAAATTAAGGGAACTGGTTGAGCCGAAGCTAAAAGGGGGGGTGGTCTGGATTAGTGCCAATTCTTTTAAACCTATTCACAAATGAGCCAGAATTAGAAGTAAGTAGTGATGCAGCCAGGTTTGGCTGATAACACCCAACGACTTAGGATGGGTCAAAACTATAAGGGAGGCAAGAGGCCAGGGAGGTTCAGAAGCCTTTCCAGTGAACAAGGCCAATTTCCATGGCTCTTTGCTCTCTTTTTTTTGCCCCTGGCACATAAATAGCAACCGTGACTGCCTCTGCCACTGCATGCAGTTAAGTCCTGGGACTACATGTCCACTCAGAATAACTGGGTTTCAGATCACTGCCGTTAAACTATGTGGAGCTGAATATCTTGGTTCAAGGATCAAATGCAAATCTATTATTTTTGACCAAGGGCTTTTTACCTTTGAAATGAAGAACTCCTAGGAGCAAAGTGCAGCCTACAATAATACAGTCTAACTGGAGGAAAACTTGCAAAAAAAGTGGGCAGGCGTCTTTTGGATGGCACTTTTGATGTGCTGTTGATTGCTCTGTAAAGAACAGTGGGTGTTGGTGTGTATGAAAGCTTATTTATTTATTTTATTTAGAAAATTTATATGCCGCCCCCTTCGCCAAAGTCTCGGGGCGGCTCACAAACTTATGAAGCTGATGAAATATGTATAGCAATTTGTGCAGTTATTGTTAGGGCGGGAAGATCTGTACTGCTAGAGCAGTACTGTAATTATAGAGCTCAGATTAATGAGTGCTCTGCGAAATTTACAAAGAGCATCTGGCATCACTATTTCCCTTCCAAAGATCATGTACAAGGTTTTGCCATGGGAGGAGACCCACATAAAAGGTCTGTTTGTGCCTCACCTCCTCCCCAGTTCTTAAAAAAAAAAAAATCTAGCTTCTAAACGAATGATGCCTTTTAGATGCTTCCAGACACACAATGTTGTCGTATTTTCTTTTGCTTTTATTATTTATATTGCCCTGAGAGTTTTGGCTATAGGGCAACTCATTAACTGAAGAAATAAAATAAAAAACTGGTGACTTAATAGCTACCTTTCTTTGTTTGGCTGTCTCTCAAGCACTTAATGTTCGAGTGTCATTACTGTGGAATGAGTGATCTGGTTTCTGCAGTGCATACAGAACTCACCCTCCTGGAACAGCATGCAAAGCTGCAAGCCAGGGCCAGTGCACATTATCAAACTGGCCACTGTGGTTTATTTAAGTCGTGGGAGGCTGTGGCATGTGGGGAGCAGAGCTCACTTTGAATATTCAAGCCACAGATATCAAAGGTTCTACAAGGGCTGTTTAACCCTTGCACACGCTGCCCTTTCTAGGGTTGGACAACCAAACAAGCTTGAACATTTCAAAGCTGCTGGGCATTTACTGGCACATGTTACAACCCACGATGACTTATTTAAACCATGGTGATCCTCTGAACCAGGTCAATATTTCTTTCTGCCTGAAGATGGGCTCTTTCTGCTATTACTGTTTCAAGACAAGAGAGCTGGCGGGCAGCCCATTTTGGCCTTATCCCCTGGCCAGGAATCCAAAGCCCCTGGGAGGCTGCACCCACTGCCTCCCAGGATGAACACTGCAAATATTACAGAGGGGAGACCAACCTGGCCCATCCAGTGTTAAGAGCAGCTGCAGGGAGCTTGCTTGCTTGCTTGCTTTATTGATTTATAAAATCTGTATGCCTCCCATTACTTGCATCTCTGGACGGCTTACAACATAGGTCAAGATAAAATAGATAAATTGACAATTCCACTCTGGCTGCGAATTTATCAAATACAAACTATAAAAACCAGTTCCCATTGCAACAGATTTAATAATTAATTAAATAAAAAAAGTCTTGACCTGGCGCTGAAAAACATATAATGATGGTGCCAGGCGGACCTCTCTGGGGAGCGCATTCCATAAATGGGGAGCCACCGCAGAGAAGGCCCTCCTCTGGGTACTCTGTCTCCTAACATCTTTCAGAGAGGGTTCCTGCAGGAGGGCTTCTGCTGGCGATCTCAGGAGGCAGGAGAGCAAATAGGGAAAAAGGCATTCCTTAAGATATCCTGGTCCCAAGCTGTTTAGGACTTTATAGGTAATAATCAGCACCTTGAATTGAGCCCGGACTTCGAGGGGAAGCCAATGGAGCTGATAGAGGACTGGGGTTATATGAGAATAACGCCCAGTCCCCGACAGCATCCTGGCAGCTCTATTTTGTACCATCTGAAGTATCCAATCCCTTCCAGGAAGAAAACTCAACCGCCACTGACAGTTCCAAAGGCCAATGCCTGCCCTGCTTCCCAGGGAAAATACCAGCACCAGAAGGAGCCAGAACAGAAGCTGCAGCTCCAGCACTTGCCTTCCTCTTTCTTCCTCATTCCTTTTGTATCATGCCTACTGTATTTGAGCTAGAATTGCCTTACTTTCAATATCTATGCAACACTTAGGCAATTTTAGAGACATTGTAGGCGTCTATGGAGTTCCATGTGTGTATCAGATTGCACGCAAAACTCTTGATTTAGGCAAAGAAGTAAACGAAATAAAATCGTTATGCAAACTTTATACCATTTAAACTATGACCAAAAATGTTTTTGTAAGTCAGCAGGCCAAATTTCTAATCCTCAATTAAAGATGACTGGAATTCAGCTTGACAACCTGTATTCTTAGTATGACTTTTTTTTTAAAGTTAATCTTTGGAATATTTAATACCGATTTCTCAAAAGACACCATAGAGTTTAGATATATTCAGAACCTTCTATACGGCTAATTAACTGGTTTGCACATAATGTAACTTTTCCATGGGTTTTTTGTGATGGTGGTGGCTGCCATTTTGACTATCTGAACCATAACAGGGTCTGCCTTGATTTGTCATAAATGTGAACCCCATGAGCGTAGGCTGTTGGGCAGTTAACAAGCCACCCAGAAGCCAGGGCCTGGCTGGGGTTGCAGGTAGCCCGTTAACCATCTGAACAGCTCACTCTTGCTTGGTGTGCACGTATGACAATTTTTGAGATTGTTGAGCAAAACAGCTCTGTGCCCTGGTG